GCTGAGATCCAAAGGAAAGGCATCGAGCAAATTCCGTGATTGACAACTAAAGGGTTATTAATAGAAGAAGGCTAGACAACGCGAGGGGTATGTTTGTAACGTAGAATCGGTCGAGTAAAACGAGACGGTGAATGATATAACAGGAGTCGCGTGCCAGCACTAATTAGGAAGAGCCTCCCTCGGATTCCCGCTCTTTTCTTTTTCCCCTGTTTCCTCGACTTCTCTCTTCATCTTATTTTAGTACTTGATCGACATTCGTACCGCGTAATAAGAACGACCTTCGTTACCTCGCCTCCCACCGAAAACCGTTTAATCAACGGCAGGGAAGGTTTTTAGAACGCGTTTTAACCCCTTGTCGACGGGGCGAGGATCCTTGTGTACCAGCCGTTCACCGTTTACAACATCTGACGAATTGATCGATAGGAAGGATCGTGGGTTCGCGAACGCACGGCACGGCAGGACGGATTGCGAGCGTGTCCGCGTACGTCATTCAGAGACAGAAGACCGATCGAACGTCGTCGCCGGTGGTAGAAACTCTGATCGAAACTGGGGAAAGCAAGGAACCTAGAGGGGAGTCGTATGGAGGAAACGAGGGAGGGGCTGTCGGATGGAAAGAGAAGGAAGGCCTACGATCGACCTAAACCCGGCGTTAACCTTTTCATCGACCCCGTTCGAGTTCTCCACTAGCCCGTCGTGGCGCCGCGCCGCTCTAATTCGGTACACCGAGTCGCGCACGGAAACAAGACTGATTCATTATTCAGTAAACGACTGCAGATATTTTCGGGTTGAAACGACGGAAAGGAAGTTAACGCGACAACGGGAAGCCCGATACGCGGAATTGGGCCACGCGAGTTTGCTTTCTCGTTGGATCGCGACGCGGCCGGACAAACCCCTCGCGCGTTGCGTTAACTTTCGATCGGCCGATCGCGACGAATCACCCCAGCCGCCGGGGAAAACACGGGAAGGATAAATGTCGGATGCTACGGCCATCTTGCCAATCCAACAGCAGCACACGATCCCATTCAGAATCCAGTGTTACCAACGGTATCGCCGGTCCAACGACGAGCAGAGGAAACTCGTCGACTACTCGTCTTCCCTTCAATCGTCCTCGCTCGTGACCGAGAAAGAGAAAACTCGTCCAAATAAACGGCAACAGCTAAGCCGCACCTTCCGGAAGCTGCCTTATCGACCGGAAGCGCTCGTGGCATCCACGTTGGCAAGAATAATAAAAAAAAAAGAGAAAAAGAAAAAAAACCTTGGCAAGGGCTTTCACCTCGTGGCCATCTTTCCATTCGGGCCAAAACCTATGTAGATCTCTCGCGAAAGTTAAATTTCCCGTTTATTAACGCAGCTCGATCGGCGAGGGAACGGGTCGTATTTAAATCCAGCGGAAGCTTCGAAAAGTTTGACCAGCTTTCCCAGACATCCGCAATACGCGCGTCTCCCTCCCTTGTTCAACTTCCCTTTAACTCCGGCATGGTTTGTTTCGTTGAGCTATTGACCGATCGTGGTGGTCGCGTCACGAGGCACGAAACAACACTGTCCCGATGGTTCCTTCCACTTAGCGAGAATAGGAAGGAAAACGGAAAACACTGAAACCAGTTGACATAGGTGGTCCGGGTTCGACGATTGCCACGAGACGAGGACAATGTCCCATCACACCAGTAACTCTTTATAAGGCGTACTGCTGTGACAGGACAATATCCCCGGCAAGTGTGTCCAGTTTTCGGCCACTTTTCGCGCGACACCTTTTGCCGATCCTCGGGGTGCGAATAGGATATCTCGGCACGGCGCGAAATTGCAAGGATGGCGAGGATGATGGCAGTTGGTGGTGGTTGTGTGCGATGGGCAGCCTCGCACGGCAGCCTAGCAGCGTCGAGCTGACTCCTGCGGAGGCGGTATCGCTCGGTCGAACGTCCCGACGGCACTGCGTCTCTCGCTGGCGACGGCGCCTCCGCACCCTGTCTCTCCCCCACCCCGAGGGTGCTTTCTCCTCCAGCATCGTCAGCCCCACCAGTATCGCGAACGCACCCTCTCTCCTTGCCGGTTCGAGCCCCTCGATGAGCCGGCAAGGGTGGAGAACGATAGAGAAGGGTGGCTGGTGCGCGTGTCTGGTCGCGCATATTCCGCGTGCGAACGAGCACGGGGGAGGCTCGGCGGAATACGGAGACGGAGAGGCGAGGGTGCGCGCGGCCAGCCTGTAGAAGGGCGGCAGAGAAAGGGAGAAAAGTAACCCTCGACGTTGCTGAGGGTCACAAGGGAACTACGCTAGCACAGCATGTCTACCGATACTGGAAACACTGGAGTTCTTCTTCTCCTGCTGCCCTGTTACGTTATTCTTCTTCTTTTCCTTTCTCAACAGCTTTCAAATTTCCCGATTAATTAGGCTTCTTATTTATGATGTACGATCGAAAGCATCTTGAAAAGTAATAGTTAACGTTATCCTCCCTCGAAGAAAAGGTCACGGCTAACGGTTGACTTTCGCGGAAAGCTGATTTTCAGTAAAATTGGCGCATGTCGTAATAACCGTTTGTCCATAACCCTTTGAAGGAGCCAAGTCTTCCGAACCAGGTCTTTCTTCTCTGACCGTTTTATTCCCGCCTGTTGTTTCTTATAGCGAAATTATTTCGACAATATGTATAGTAATTATGTAATGCCTATGTAATCGAATATTTTCGTTGGAATGTTACGGAACGCGGCCGAGGGTGTCGATCAGTCATCTGGAAATGATGTGCCGATTGTTTGATCGGTTACAAGTTTCATCTTCTTCCACGAGGGAAGGAAATTTAAGCAGGATTGCGTATGATGGAATTTAACCAGCTGCTTTCAAAGGGAAAAAGAAAATACGAACGGCATTTCGAATCGATCCGTGACCAGTTTCGAACCAAAAGGACATACTCGCCTCTTTCGCTCTCTCTTTCGAAGTTTCTGCAATTAGCTTTCTCTTCCTCTTGGCCGAGCGGAAGGAAAGAGGAGACGTGGTTTGGAGCGAAAGGAAGACGCTGCAAAGCGTCGAGGCCACTCGCGAGAACAAACCTTGATTCTTGGAAATTTCGAAAGAGGGATTTTTCCACGGCGAAGAAGGATCATCCATCGGCTCATGGCGAGAGAAGGAAATGGTAGGAGAAAGAGACGGAAGATAAAGGCGGGCTAGCTAATGCTGAATGGCAAGAAGAGAGGCGAGTTTACGTGGAAATTAGGCGACGAAAGAGAAAAAGAGCGACGCATTTCGATAGACGTTCTGCAGGGGTGGAAACGTTGCAAAAGGGAGCGCGACAACTCGAAGAGGGAAGAACGGAGGGGAGTATTGATCCACCAGCTGCGCGTTCTCTCACCCTCCACCCCCGCTGTTCACCCTCTCGCCCCTTATCCCGGTATCCACCTCCCACGTCCCACTGGACGACTCCCTCGAATGGCTCACCCTGTTTCGCTTTTACCCTCTTTCTCTTCCGCCCTCTCTCATTCACCACCGTTCTCTGTCTCTTTGACCCGTCGCGTCGCTCCGTAGCAATGGAAACGATGCTTTCGCGAACTTGCATCTGTTTTATCCCTGTTTTGCAGTCTGCCGATTTATTCTACGTTAGAGTTTCGAGGGGATGAAAATTGAAAGCTAGCCGTGAGCAATCACGGAATCAAAGCCATCGCTAGTCCATCGTATTTCTTCTTGTTCCTCTTTTGATCCTTTCTCTTCGTTCTGGCGTATGTACACGCGTGAAACCATTACTCTCGCGTCTCGGTATCTCTCTCTTTCCCACCCCCGGCGGCTGGTTACTCTCGCGTCTCTTCTTCCCTCGGGGTTGTACGTACGCGCGCACACAAACACCCTTCCTCCCGTTTTCTTCCCCTCTGTGAAATCCCCTCCGCCTGACAGACCTTCCACTCCAGGCTGCGTCACGCTCCCTCGACCTCTGCACCTCCAACATCGTCCACGTTGTACGCTCTGCTCTGCTCTGTTCTACTCTGCTCTCTTCTGTCCACCTTTCTCGCGGCTATACAACCATAGAAGCAAACCGGAGTAACGTGCACCGCTTTTACTTACCCCTCTTTCTCTCTCGCAACCCTATTCCGTCCTTCGACCTCCAACTCTCTCTTTCGCTTTGGCGAACGTACGCGAGTTCTTGCAGATCCCGGGGAAAAAACACAACGACGCGCGCCTCTACACCCTTTCGTTCGTTCGTTCGTTCGTCCGCGATCCTCGATCGATCGGAACGTTTTTCATCTTCCGTCAGAATTAAAAGCGCCTTTCGGGAGCGTTTTTCTCTCTCTTCCGCGCGGTAAATCGAAAAATTTTCCCGACTAATTCGTCGCTTTTTTCCTAATCCCGCGCAACGGAAGCGGATGCAGGGGGGAAATAGGGTTCGTCGGAGGAAAGATAACGGACGACGATTGGTAAACGGCGCAGCTACGGTGATAGATGAAGAAGGTGGACAGATACATCGGGTTCCATTCCCGCGGGATCATCGGCGTCGTTGTAGCTCTCGCGAGCCGACAGAGATGGCGAATATAGATGGCGGTTAAGGGTAATGAAGGGTGACACCGGAGAGAAAATAAAATATCGCTTCCCGTCGATTCGCCCATCGAACCCGTTACTCGCAGCTCTCGTTTTTCTTCGCGTTTCAGGGCACGATCGCGTCTCTGGCGACTTTATCCTGGCACGCGGAAACAGCGCGTTATCTTTTCCAATTATTCGCCGGTGATTGGTGGAACAGCGACGGGGGCACGAAACCCGTTCTTATCGGTTCGATGAAATCTTTCGGGAGACAGAGAAAAATAGCGGTCGAAGGGCGCGACTGTTTCGTGCTGGAAATAATTTGCCTGGAATTATTCGAAAACGATACCTTCGTTTTTCCGTACGAACGCCTCGGCTATCTTTGATACGGGAAACCCGAGCTTTTCTTAGCCGTTCCGGCGATCCAGCTTCGCGCCACCGTGAAAAATTGTACCGGTAGCGGGAAACTTTTAACGAACCGGTTACATATGCTTAATCGGAGAGCACTCACCTTTAAAGGGCGAGGATTTCGCAGATCGAAGAACCGTGGAACGGGAGGAATCTCGAAACGATAATAATCGTAGAGTCTGCGCGTACGAAACATTCGATTAGCCGGCGAGAGAAACTTGTTGTATCCCTCTGTCGTGTAACAATTTTTCAATCTTACCGAACGTCGATCGTGGTCCAAAACAACCTGTGGGCGGCTAGCAGAGCGGCGGAGGTTAACACGCAAATTTTAATTAACACCAAAGGCATCAGCTGAAACGAGAATCGGAGAAAAGTTTGTTTAGCGGATATTCTGTGCGGCTAGAGGACTAATTAATGAAATTGCGCGGATAAGAACGGTTTTCCCGAGAAACTCGATTCGAAGCGTTTCAAGTATTCAAAGGGTTGTGTATGGTGGTTCGCTTATGACGCGTCACGGGTTAACATAAGCATAAGTATAGGGAGGAAACGAGGTGGAGAGAGGGTGAAAACTCGCGTTGGTTGTGGCGTGGTTCGGACAATAAATTGCCAGGGAAAACAGCCTCTGGCTGGGAAAACATTTTTCCGCGTTACTCGGCCCGACAGTAATTAAAATGTAGCCTATCGTTAATTATGCAACGATACGAAAATGCACCGTCGCTGCTTTCATTATTCACGCTCCTCTAACGACGTTTCATCGTTCGGCTAGATTCGTAAAAGTTTCATGATCTTCGTGTTACGCTTGATCAAGAACCCCACGTTTGTCGAATCGTTACGAGAATCACAGCATAACGCTAATTATTAACGGGGTGTTACTCCAAAGCTGGCATTCATACTCCGTTTCCATTGTTAACGAATCTTAGGATAACCTGCGTAATCGTTATGACACCTAATACCCGCCTCTATAGATATTTCGGTATATATTTCGATGCTCCAATTAAAAGAAATTTTCCTAGGAAATTCGGTTCAATTACGTGAAACGATCAGGTATAAATGAGAGAATTTCGTTCGTTCGTTCGTTCGTTCGATGAATGCGTTTACAAACTGATTCGAAAATATTTTTGGCGTGAAGCAAAAGAAAAATATCGAGTGTACGCGTTTTGCTCGAAGCGAAGCGGAGCGAACGAACAACCCTTTGCCGACTAACCGAAAATTTGCGTATGTTTCAGCGCCGGCATGGAGGCAGCAAATGGTACGATCGAGCACGATTTTCACAATGCCCTGGTGCCCATAAACGGTAGCCATTCCGGCAGCTCCGGTAGGAGTACACCGAATGGCGGCGATCCAGCACCTGGTAAATTGTTCGTCGGTGGCTTGTCTTGGCAGACCAGCAGCGAAAAGCTGAGGGAGTACTTTGGCATGTTCGGCACCGTCACCGATGTCCTCATCATGAAGGATCCGGTTACACAGGTTGGTGCATCAGATGGAAGCTTTCATAGCTGATCCATCTCCGTACGAAATCGGTAGCCTGTCCCGAATTTCTTTCAAAGATCTCGATCGATCCAACGAGAAAGCAACGATCGATCCGAGAAAAAGTTCCGCGAAAATATAGTCACCTCGATCGAGATCTCTTTTGGGAAAAGAAAAACTCGCGAACAGGCTACCGAGAATTCGACAAAATTCTCGTCCATTTCCTCCTCGATAGGTCAGATCGTTCGTATCGGGGCGAACCGAAAGTCCTTCCGGTTTTTCGGGGCACAGGGAGGGGGTAATCACGGGGAGAAAGATAAAAAAGAGAATTAGAAAGAGAGGAGAAAGATTGAAACGCAATTCTTCTCGAGGAGATTCGATGCACCAGTTTCTTCCTTCCACTTTTGCACGAGATTTCACACAGTAGATCGTAGAAGAGAAGTTGTACTAATCGATGTAACTAATTTGCTGAGACAGTGTAAAGGAAGTAGAAACGTATCTTTTGGTATCTTTACTGTATTAAAACTTTTGTATTTAAAACGTAAAAGGTGGAAAAGAGGCAGAGGCTCGTTTCTAAAGATGCGTTCGCACACGGGTTTATCCGATACAACGTAATAGTAATCACGTACGAGGACTCTGGGCATATACATAGATTATCGTATCCGGTAGCGATGCAATTAACGATCGTAACTTCATTTTGAGTCTTATCATTTATTCGAAGTCCTTGTCTCTCACGTAATCCTAGAATGTTTGTCTTACATTGGCTTGGACAGTCTTGCATGTATACGGTAGTTTGGTAGTATTTAGTTTAATTGTACATAAGAGAAGATATATCGTGGTACCATTTTTACAATACAGAGTACGATAGATAAACGAGACGGGCTACATTTCTGACGAACGTGACGTTGAAAAATTCGAGAACACGGTAGACCGTGATAGATATCGGTATGCGTTTGTAACGTCGCGCGCGCCTTATTACGAATATCTACTATCGCGCGGAATTTAGGTGCCGTCGATTAATCGGTTTGCTAGCTCGTTATCGATTAATCGTTCGGCGACTTGGAACGCTGGAGGCGGCCAGCGAGGATATATCGCGAACGAGCAGATGGTCGGAAAGCCAAGGGACACTCGAGATAGGTGTGCGAAACGAAACGAAAGCGAGATAGCACGAGATAGACGGGTGAGAAAAAGCGAGGAAAGAGAGGGAGCGATAAAGAGAGTGAGAGAGAGAGGAAATATTTAAACAAAAAAGAAAAAGACAGAGAAGGGGGAGAGAGAGAGAGAGAGAGAGAGAGAGAAAGAGAGAGAAAGAAAGAAAGAAGGAAGGGAAAAGATGAAAGAGACGGTGGTTGTGCATCGTGGCCGTTCTGGCTTGTTCGGTTACAGCGTAGTCGCGGCTTCGGTTTCATCACGTTCGCGGAGCCGGGTAGCGTGGACAAGGTGCTGAAGTGTCCGATTCATACGTTGGACGGGAAGAAGATCGACCCGAAACACGCGACGCCAAAGAACCGCGCGAAACAGGCGAATCGGACGAAGAAGATCTTCGTGGGGGGCGTTAGCCAGGACACGAGCAGCGAGGAAGTGAAGGCCTACTTCAACCAGTTCGGTAAAGTCGAGGAGACCGTGATGCTGATGGACCAGCAGACGAAACGTCATCGTGGCTTCGGTTTCGTCACGTTCGAGAACGAGGACGTGGTGGATCGCGTGTGCGAGATCCACTTTCACACGATTAAGAACAAAAAAGTGGAGTGCAAGAAGGCTCAGCCGAAGGAGGCGGTTCAACCAGGCGCGTTGGCCCTGGGCAAGAGGGTGGTATTGGGCGCACTCGGAGTTAGATTAGCGCCACAGCCGCCGTTACCGGTCGCCGCGGCGTCTCAGTTAGTCGCGGCACAGGCCCAGGCACAAGTACAAGCGGCCGCGGCCGCGGCTGCGGCTGCCCAGGTTCAAAACGCTGTTGCCGGTTACGGGAAGCTGTTCGCCAGTAGCTATCCGGCCCTGTCCGCTTACCGATACGCGCCGTACCCGATCCCAGCGGCGGCGGTGGCAGCGGCCGCGGCCGCAGCCGCACCGACCCCGGCTCCGGCACCCCCGACAGCCGCCGCCACGCCAGCTGCTGCAGCCGCAGCCGCGGCCGCCGCGCCCGCGAACCCTTACCAGGGATACTCGCTCACCAACGTCGACATGTCCAGTTTCCAGGGTGTCGACTGGGGCTCCATGTACGGCATGGGAATGTACGTCTAAACCTAAACGGTACCACGCACCCCCGCCCCTCCCCCGCCACCGCGTTTTTTCTATTCCTGAATCTTCGCATTAATCCTCTACTGCGCGTTCGTTTTTCCAACCTCGTCTTCGATAAAGTAGTCTTCCTCGAATGAACGCGTGCTTCTGCGCGATCGTAACGCGTTCCCCGCGAACCGCTGCAAACGTCTCAAAGTTGAGCTATCCCAACAACGATGGCCCAAGAACCGCGCGAAAGAAGCAAGAGGAGAGGTGAAGAAGAAGGGAAAACGGGAAGAAAGAATCTGGAAATCGTGGGGCGGGGGAAATCTCGGTGGACGAAAACGTGTCGAGCAGGACGCGAGGACTTTCCTGGCCGGAAACCGAAGTCATTCTTCTTGCGTTTACTATTACTTCATTATCGCCTATCGATTAATTTATTAGCGTGAGTGAGCGATTGAAAAGGAAGAGGAAACAAAGAAAAAAAATGATGAGAGAGGGAGAGAGTGCATGCGTGTGTGGGTGATAACGAAAGAGAAGAGAGAAAGAAGAAGATATCGTTTTATCCTTCGTCCGCGATACCCACTCGCGATTCTTTTTGTCCACGCGATTATTCCACGCGTTTTGTGTTTTTGCGTCACACTCGTTAGGTTCCTAGTTAGATTATAGAATCACCCCCTTTGACGCGATACGCGCAGCGTCGCCATCGTATTCATTCGTTTGCGTTCTTTTCCGGCTTCCCGCCGCGCCCAACCGTACGATAACTAACTAATTACTTAATTACTTAATCGATTAAGCGATATATCGGCGGCCGTGTACGGCCGCCCTACTCTCAAGGATCTCGACCACGAAGCAATAAAACAGGGGAGGTAGAAATGAGAGATACAGACGGAAAGAAGAGAGCGAACTTGGAACGTTGTGCCGTGAAAGAGCTTTCGAACCAAAACCGTTGCGTATCCGCGGAACAAGCTCTCTTTCGTTTTAGACTTTTCAAAGAGAATAGCGACCGTTGCTCGTGAACGAAACGGAAGTACGCGGAAGAAGGGAAGGGTGACGGAGTGGTGGTAGTTGTACCGGTAGTCGCGCGACGCTCCTTCGCCTCGATCAAAGTGCCAAACGAACGAAGCCTTGCGAACATATTCGCTCGAGAAAATCATCCTCGATACTCTTCTGTAGCAAGTTCCCTGGGTAACCGCGCGATCCTACCTTCCGTAATCGCTCGTCCTTTCGCCGCGTGCTTCCGGTTGCCGAATCAACGAGACGGAAGTTGACGTACGTTCGTTCGCACGGTCAGAAGAAGAGGGTTACGCGTACGTAGAGGAAATAAATCAGTCGTACACGTACGAGAAACGCGTCTACGTAGTATAACGCATAGGTATACATATATTTTTTCTTCGAGTAATGGAAGACAATATTTCTCCATCGCGCGAGAGCAGAAGGAGCAGCAATGCGATTCGACGCGTTTCGAGGGAAAACTCGCGTTCCCAGCTGTATACTAAACTAACAGTCGCGACCGAGCGAGCGACTTTTTTTTTGCTAACAGCAAAACCGAGATTGAGATTAGCTCAGTGTAAGTTAAGCGACCCTAACTCGTAAGTTTCAACTAGGTTAAGTTAGACGTTTAAGGCGTTCGTAAGAAAACGAGTCGATACTTAATTTATACACGTATCTATCTCTGTGCGAGCCGCGTTCTTCTCGCTCGCGATTACGCGACGAATCGATCGTCCGCCACTTCCGTTACACTTACGATTTTCCTCAACGAGGGGTTCTCTAAGTTCTAAAAGGAAAAAAAAATCTTTCACCGCCTTCGAACTAGCGATTTCAACGGAAGTGCGAAAGATCGACGATGTAAGCACCTCGCGTGTATCTACAGGCGTCACGATTCGACGAGAAGAGAGAAAAAAAAGGAAAATAAAAGAAAAAGAGCGAATCGAAAGCGAGAAAAGCGCGGCACGTGGAAACACATGTGAGAACTTTCGAGCAATAAGCGATTCGTTGACACGTTAAGCTGTACCGTTTCCGTTTAACGATACGATGATAGCGAGGAAAGAGCAGATTGCATGGTACTGATACGAAGGAATAATTAACAGGAGCGTGGCTTGCTAGCGATAGCAAGCGGGGACGGTAAGATAGGGGGCAAGAGCGTAGAAAAAAAAAAAAAAAAAGTAAAGAAGGGATGAAAGATGAAAAGTTCGAAGAAAGGATTTTTCTTCGAACGACGAATAATATTCTATAGTGATATACACACCTTAACATATACTTAACATGTACCGTAATATTAACGACGACAAAGCTCGCGAGTGATATTTATTACTTATAAGAAAATGCTTAGAACGATAAGCAGACGATAAGTGAGTTAATACGGACGTGTGCGTTATAAGCGAGAGTCGAGAGAACGAAGCACGCCTTATGAAATCGCGAAAAGCAAGTATACACGCGCGCGTTATATCTGCCGAGCAGAATTAAACAAGAGGCGATGATTCGAGAAACCACGGTGCGACCGAATTTTATTTTATTTTATTTTTTATTTTTTTTTTTATTTTTTTTCTTCTTTTGTTTGTTTCTGTGAAATCCAGAGTCTACGCGTACTCGTCGATGCGCCGTTTCGAGAACACGAACCATGGGTGCGTACTTGAAGCTAACCTCGAGGACACCCGACCTCAAAGTATTCGAACTATCTCCTCGATCCACCTACATTCGTCCATTTCTTTTCTCGTTTTTTTTTCCCCGCGTTTCCTTCTCTTCCTACCCTCTTTCATTGCGAACGTCGTAGAAACGATCGATGAAAGAGAGGAAGGGTGACACATCCGGTGTCGTCGATCCTCTTCGTCGATTAAATATCGATTTTCCTTCTCGTTCGAACAGGCTCGACGACATCGAAACGCATTTCTGGGTGTCCTCATTTTTCCTCCCTCCGTGTCGTTTATGCCGATGATAATGATTATTTTAATTTTGTTTTTTAATTAACAAAATCGGTGCAGACTTGCCGCTGATAGAGAAACGGGATCTTTCGAATCGATCGATCGATCGATTTGCTCGTCGATTCGGAATGACCTTTGAACTTGCATCGATGCAAACGCCCATCCATCGTTGACAGCTAGCCTACCCTCTCCTCCACGAACGCTTCCTTCTTTTTCCTCCCCCGAACCATTTTCAACCCCCTTTGATATACACCTTCCGGTGATATCATGTATTGTACATGCTAATACACGATCGCGCGCACATACACACACGTACACACACACACATACGCTCATACTTACATTTTTACTTATTTTCACAGAAATCAAGTACACGTATAGACAGACATAGTTACACGTATTGCGAATGTCGAAAGTAATTTTTAGCGTAGTTAGTATTTTGATAAACGCTAACCACCCATTAGTTGAGAATGATCAGTAGGTAAAGCATGCTGGTTGAGAAATATCTTTAGATTTCTGATTCCTGTTGTTCCTTCACCGCCCTCGTCGTGTCGTTGTACGTTTTAACAAGAATTATCTGTTATTCTTGCCGATCGCGAGCGAGCGCTAACGAGAGATACCTAATCAAATTTCCCTCGTTCTTTTTTCGTTTCATAGTTTTCTTAATTTTACGTTAATTTTTTTTTTTTTTCTTTGTTTATTTATCTTTGTGTTTCTTCATTTTAATTTTTAATCATCAAACGATTGCATGCATCTTTTTTGTTTTTCATTTTCTCGAAAGATTTATCAACTCGAAGGTAAAACCGATCTGGCGACGAAAACAGATCCGTTTCGACGGACGCAAAAAGACGGTTATCGAATAATTTTCGCGATTCATAAATCTAAGATAAGTTGTAACGTTACCGATCGAAAATATACAAAGTGCGCGAAACGTTGTTCACTGGATGTCAATCATTAGTGGTATTTCACCCCTGTTCACGATATATTCACGTTCCTGTGATCCACTTTTAATCAGATTTTTCTCTAGATAAAAGAAACGAAAGCTCCCTTAAATTCTACCGTATTCCGCCGAACGGAAGAGAATTATTGAAGCAATTAAACGTTCGAACGTAACGATACGCGGATCTTTTTTTTTTTATCGACGACCGGTCGTTTCGGTAATAAATTTATAGTTCTTTCTCTTCCGCAAACCTTCCTGTCGCGTCGAAGGGATCGTTCGGAAAACTAAAAGCGATAAGCAGTTTCGTCGTTTTTCCATTGAAGCAACGAAGCGAGATAGAGGGATGGGGTGAACAGAGACGAAGACAGAAAGTAACGCACCCTCGTCGAGACGCGTCCTAGATCCTCACCCGAGTCCACCCGCTCTCCAAACACACCCTCGTTTAACTGAATCCGGTACTTTGTGCCTCTCCTCGCTCTTATTATTACTTAATCTCATTATTGTCTATCTAGCCATCACCATTATTACCATCGTTATTGTCATCACCGTTATCCATTTCCTTCGTTCTCTGTTCGATTCGTACATTTCCGTTCGTTTACTCGTGTCGTGTGCCATAAACACGGAGCGACCGTGCAACGAGACACGAGAAGATCAGTTCGACGCGACGCGACGTGAAAATCTCTGCTCCGCTTTTCCCTCGGGCTAGGCTGAACCGTCGCGGGGTCCAGTGGGTCGAAACCACCCACGAAAAGGGAAACTCTTCCATCGATACCCTGTTCCAATTCGCCGAGTACCTTCCGCTCGTTGAAAATGAACCCCCGACCTTAGGATTGTTCGTCGAATGCTTTCTATTATTTTCTCCCAGCGAAACCCGTTCATTCTTTCTAAACGAACCGTTACTCTGATTTTCATCTTTCCTTTTTCGTCCTTTCCGCTCCGTTTATCGCCGATAGATCGGCTGTTATTTTCATCCGCGACGAATCAGCCGGCTGCGACGCGTTATCGAGAACGAGACGGTACGATACGACAAAATAAAGAGAGAGTAAGAGAGAGTGAGAGTGAAAGAGAGAGCACGCAGGGCGGCGAACGCGAAGAACGACATAAACGACAGATTATTTAGTTTAGTTCGATGCCTAGATGAGTTGCCAATAAAGTAGTTCATTTCAAACTTGTAGCTAACCTGTATTGTGTGTACAACATCCTATCTTCCGTCGTTGATCCTTTTATTATTCTTCTTCTTATGTTTCTTCCCTAATAGACAGTCCTTAGCCGTATCTGTGTACCTCGGCTAATTGTATTTTATCATTATCATCATCATCACCATCGTCATCATCATTAATATTATTTTTACTTCTGCCAGATATAATTGTTTCTTTCATTTTCCGTTTTTTTTTCTCTTCTTCTTTTTTTATTTTGGTGCTGTGTAATATTTTCTACCTTTTTACTTACTCGCACACGTATTCTGTTTGTGTCTCTCTGTATAACACGTTTAACCCCGAACTAGCGTGTATGTTGAGATAATATTTATTGCGAAACGTGTTTGATTATTTAATACGATTCGTTCAGGCTAACCCTCTCCCTCTGTCCTCCGCCTTTATCCCCGATTTTCCTTCGATCGCTGGACTCTCGTCGACAGCGTCGAAGCCGTCGTTCGTGCCGGAGGCGTAGCACCGCGAGCGCATCGCTAATTGGCTAATTAATATTAAGCCGTAACTAGCCTCGTTAACCCCGCTGGGCATTCGTTTCACGCCGCTCTCTGGTTGGTCGAGAGCACCCTGTGCTCGGTCGCGTTCTTCCTTTGGTAGTCGCGCGTTTGTTCCGGACGTGCACCGCGTCGAGGGTCTTCCTTTCCGTCTTTCAATCGCTCACCGACGCGTCATCGTCATCGACGACGTTCGGAGAAATTCGAAGGGAGGGCAAAGATCATCGACGCGGAGACGTTCCACGAAATCGTCGGATAGAAAAGCTCCGCGTTGTCCCTCCGGTACGTTTCCCACCTAAGACAATAACGTTTCTTAACATGGTTGCTTCCTCTCTCCCTTCACACAGCCCTCATGTTGCTTTTTAAGCTGTTTAAAAACAGCCGGCGAAATTGTTGTAGCGCATGCATTTTAGCTAGATCATCCTTGGCGCGCTCTAACCAGCAAGTAAGAGTAAAATTTAATAAATTCGATACGCATACAATTATTTTCCTCGGAAAACCTCTGGAACCGGTATCTACGCGTTTCTGTCTCGATCGTGGGTGGAAAAGTGTTGGAACGATCGAGAGAGAACCGTCTCGTCCCGTTTTCTATTCCTCCTCTCCTCCCTCAACTCTTTGCGTTCGTTGCGAAAACTTTGATCGATATTAACGTTTAAGAATCACGCGCGGAAAGATCGATCTCTGAAAGCTTTTCGGAGAAAAGAGCAAGAGAAAGAAAAGAGAGATTGAGAGTTTCGCCCATCCTGTCCCCCTTTTCGCTCGTACGCTCGACCAAAGAATAAATCGCTCGAACAGCGTCGCAATATTCGAAGAGTTATTTTCGAAACGAACCGGGAGACCCGTACGTTAAATCGTCGGCAAACAATCTTGCAACGACCAAGAACTGTAGCGCGCTTAGAAAATCTAAACGGAGGAACATCCGTGTAGAAACGTTGTAGACGTAGAGAGCTTTCGACGTAGTTGGCTAAATTAACCCAAGTAGAATTTGATGATAACCACGTTTCTCTAAACTTTTTTCTACGAACAGCGAGCCTTTACGATCCTAAATTCCTAACTGTATTTAAACGTAAGAACGAGAGGAAATTCGACGATCGTTCTTGCAGTTTGCTCGAGCGTACCGAGACCAGCCGACATCCTAGCACGGAGAAAGACTTTCTTCCGGTTTCTCTGATTAAAACCGACGAATGAGTCGCGACTGATACGTTTGCCTACATATCGTCGATGATTAGAGTTTAGTACGAACGTTAGATCGTAGTTCGTTTTATACACATCGCGCTGTGATTATTCGCGGGAACAGAGATTCTCGAGCGAAAGATAAAGATTTAAAGCTCTTCGATCAAACGAACGATCGAAACACCGCGAATACCGATCGACCGCGACTGGACCAATCCGAACGTTTTCCCGGTGTTTCGTCCTCGTCGAACGAACCGCGATACATATCGATGCACGCGACATATCATTTTACGATTTACCGATCATTCGATTCGGCCGTCATTTCTCACGATCGTTAGTCGAAACTAGATTTCAACATTTTCTCGAAGGAAAGTTAGATTCGCGCCTTCCCTTTCCGCTTTCTCCGTGCACTCGTCGATCGTTCTTTCCCTCGTTTTACGATCGTCGATTCGATAGAACCCTCCGAGTGCCTTAACCCCCCCCCCCCATGATCTCTCCGTACCCCCTACTGTTTCTTCTCCTTTGTAACTCGAAAGAAAAAAAAGACAAACCAACGACAAAACGAGAGTACAGATATATGTATGTATATATATATATATAGAGAGAGAGAGAGAGAGAGAGAGAGAGAGAAAATATGTAACAGAAAAAAAGAGAGACAGAGAGAAGAGAATCAGGAACGATTTAGACGCATATTAATTCCCATAGGCAAGAGTAGAATTGAGTGTCGATCGCTAGAGAGAACACGAGAGAACCACTTCCATGGATTCGGATTCGAGACGGGCTGACCACAGCGCGGCTGAAAAATCAGGTAAGACCATTTTTCTTATTTTCTTTTATCCCTTTTGTATTTTTCCTATTTTACGTAACCAGTGAGCGCAGAATGATTCGAGTATCCTGGATCTCGACTCGTGCTGCGCGAACGTTTATTATCTACTCGCATCCTTTTTAGCGTAGATATATCGCGTAGTGCGTTTAGACATTGGGAAAAAATTTAGCGTGTCAGTAGCGAGTATTTATTGTCGATAACAATGGCAAGAATACCCTTTTGATCCCTTTTAGCGTGGCAGACAGCGAGATTACGCATCCTACCAGAAGTAATACACAGTAAATGTTGGTAGTTAATTAGTGACAGTTGAAAAATCTATCGATAGTACCCAGCGTAGTTTTATTGTGCATAATTCGAACGTTTCATTCCTTTTTGTGCGAGTAATTTGAAAGAGCCTCGAGTTCGAGAACGGACGATCGAATAAGGGAAAGTTTCGCCCGCTTTAAAATTACCGGCGGATCAAGTTTTACCCCCTTCTCGTTGCGAGGGATTAAATGGAAGAGAGAAGTTTAAGAATTGGCCCGACGATCGAACAAAATGGGAAAGATCACGGTCTCGAGCGTGGCTCTGGACGCGTATTAGATCGCCGATGAATTTTCCGCGTGGAAACGTTTCGATACACTCTCGCGTGTTCTACGAGCAAAACAACCCCCGTTGGATTTTCCCTTTTTCCAAAAGTTTTCTCGTTAGCCAGACTCTCACCTACGTGACACGACTTCTTTCCAAGTTTTCTTTCAAAAATCCTTCCCTGCATCGATTTTTTCAATCTCCTCCCCTTCGATTCGTTTCCTCGCGGACAGTTCGTCGGTTAAACGGTACTTGTAATTGTTCGTAGCCATTATCGAAGCTGCGATGAAGTGTGTTTCGTGCATGCGTTACGATTTCTACATACTAATATACGTGTCTGAACGATCGTCTCGTATTCAGGGACGATCTTTGCTCGGTTACACCGCGTGCTTCGTCAATTTACAATTCGAATGTCTCGTGGTACGAGATGATCGTTGCCGTATGAAGGCAACACTGAGGCCTTAAGTAGTCGCATGTGTGATTTGAAAAAGCAGAGAAAGAAAGGAACAGGTATATACAGGGTGTCTCTTATGAAGCACCCTGTATATGCTTTCGTAATGATTCACCACTACTGCCACCATTATCCACCGCTAACACCTCCATCGCCATCATCCTCCATCATCGTCATTGCCTTCATCGACCAGAGAGAGAGAGAGAGAGAGATTATCGAACTGATAGAAGTTGAAACGAGTCGTTGTAAAGAGGTGTGCTATACTCGAGCCTCCTCTTCCTCCTATTCGAATAATACATTTCTTTTTCACACGGATCGTTTTTCCGCGATGAAAAGGATAAAGAGATTCCGGATTGGAGGAGTTCGAAATGACAGAAAGTCCGGCGAAGTTTAGGTGGAACAAGAAATACCGAAGGCGTGTTAACAATGGCTGGTCTTTTTCGTTCGTTTTCCGAGGCACTCTTTCGAAATGGGACCCGCGCGTTTTTCGTAGCGCTCTTTTCAAGCCAGCAAAAATTTCTGGCGTCTTGTTCTTCCAGTACATATATGTATATGTATATAATTACGTACATTCATACGTACATATTGCACGTACACGATGAAAATTAATAAATAAATTATATATATATGTATACACACACACAGATAGATAGATATATATATATGTACAAATGTGCGTACATAATGAATGTGTAATGAAAAATTCGACGGTCGAACCAAGGTACGGTTCGTCGTGCGAGAAATTCGTTCAAGTCAAATTCATTGTGTCTCTGATTGCCTTCAGTGAGAATAATCTTCGAAGTTTTTCTCCATGAGAAAACTAATTAATCGATCTTTATGGAGTAAAGACTTTTTCACAAGGGAACTTTGACTCGTGTATTTTTTCATCTTCAATGCAAAAACATATCCCCGCTGTCGAGATAGAAGAAAGTAGAAGGAGCGAAAGGGAAGCTCAGTTTCTCGTCGCGTTTTTGCATAGTCGTCGGGCTTTCTCGTTTCATTTCACCGCGTTACGCGTCAGTTTTCCTTTCGTTTTTCCCTTCTTTCCGTTAACATAGCCCGTGCATCGATAGAGACAAGGCGAAGATCGTTTTCGCAAGGCGTAACCATATTATCGGCTCGAATCAACGCGACAAAATAGACCAGTCTTTCTCTCTACGTTCAGCGAAGTGCTTTCGATACTGCTAGCGAATATCGTTTTCACGGGTCGCTCTATTTATTCAGCGTGTGTGTCTGGTAGATTACACGGCGAAAAAAATCGAAGCGGATCGGCTCGAATCGACGACACGAATTCGCGCCACCAACTTTCCCGGAGTACTGAATTTTTTTCTTTTCTGAAACCGAGGGATCGTAGCTTTCCAAAGTAAAAATTGTAACGTCAGTAGAATAGAGAGACAAAAGGTCGAGTGTCGTCGAGTTGGAGCGGTACGTTCGATGAACGACACGAAGACAATTAGAGAGGAGAATTTTCAGTCTCGAGGATGTTGAAAAAGTACAAACCGGGAGTAAAACGTTTAGCTGGGTCGATTAGAGTTGTAGTCGAAAAAGGGACGAGTCGACCTACGCTAGCGTGACTGAGCAGAAAATCGAGAAGGAGCCCCGTTTTCGCGGGTCCTCCACGACCGGCGAAGTTCAAAGGCTGATGAGAACGGGTGTAGAGATATTCTTCGAGGACATTTTTCCCGATCGACGAGACCCGCCGAGCCGGGGCTTTTCTCCTATTTACCGCGTAACCAGTAGCGATATATCTCGTGTGATAATTCCAGGTATTTAATAACCTCATTGGTATCGTTAGTCATACACGAGAAGTATTATCATCATCGTCGAATTATCATCGTTTACCGAGTAGCATTCGGTACGTTCTCTTATCCAATGTGCCATTTCTCGTCATCGTCGTTAGACACACTTTCATCTTTCTTATCCTGGTTCAGTTATTACGAAATCACTAATTGGACGTTCGATGACCCGTTTCGAAATGAATTAACGCCTTGATTGCCACGGGGGTGATTGAAGCTAATACGATACAGGATAACATCGACACCCTGTACTCTGAACTTCCTTGAATTTCTTTTAATTAGTCCCTCGTGGCACTGAACGCGTTAAGAAAGCAAGTTCGATTTCGAAACGCTTTCGGTATTTACAAGTCCAAGGAATCCAGTGATAAGGTGCCTCGTAGTCTTATTTATTTCAGTTGATTTCAAAGTCGCCCTCCCCAAGTAACTTATTTCTTAGAGAGTTGATATAACGTGTACACGATTGAAATTCTGAACGTATTTTTCCGTGTCTTCTGTGGACGAAGCTTCGAGCGTAGCGCAGTTTCTCACCCCCGCAAGCATTCCCGGCGGGCGACGATCCACTGACTTTCCAATAAGAGCGTCGTCGAATTATCTTCAATTCAAACTTCCTTCCTTTTTTACTTTAATTTTGTTCTTTCTCGTTTCCTTGCCTGTTGGCTCGTACACCAGCAGACTTGCTAGCCGGGACACTAACCCCTTCTCCCTCCCCCCGAGATATATACATATAGAACACGCGATCCAGTTTATTGGAAAGATCACGAAATCGTAGCCAGTAGGTTAACCCGAAATCCGCAACGTAAATAGCATAGTCAGCTAGCTAGGCAGCCGAATAGTTAACACGATGTGTAGCGAACTTATATAATTAATTACTTACTCCGTTTAATGGGTAAGAGGCAAAAGACAGTAATAAGTGAGGTTTCATGAATCGGTAGTTGGGTACGAGGAAAAGAAAAAGAGAAAAGTGAAAAAAAAGAAAGATGAGATACTGCGACAGAGAGAGAGAGAGAGAGAGAGAAAGAACGCGTGTGTTGGTGCGTGTGTGTGACAGTGTGTACATGAGAAGGTGTGTTCTAAAGTGAGGAAGAGTCGTGTGAAAGAAACGGAAGGAATAATTACCAACGTACTTACTGCAGGTAGACTGGTTACTGTACCTGTTGTTGTTGAAAGCATTAAAAATACTCTTATTCCATGCTAATATGGCTTAGTGATATCTATTATTTTCACCCCTATCCATCGATTCTTCGATAAACGAACGTCGCAATAAAAAAAAAAAAGAAGAAGAAAAGGGTTGGTTATTTACGGGTACGTTTTTAAAGAGTCCCTAAATCGAGGTGGAAAAACCTCCGGCCTTAAAAGTTTGGATCTACGAGAGGTTCTAACGAAGGGTGAAAAATATACTCTCAGGAATCGAAGTATTACCTCTGTAGAGGGGAAAAACGATGTAATATTTATCGGCTAGTAACAGGGGGGGAAATTTTTCATCCTTTTCTTGATAAAATTACAAAATCTCGATTCTTTATAGTTTGAATATAGAGGATAAGAGAATAGAAAAAGAAAAAGACACGTATTCCTCTTCGCTATTGGACCGTACTTATTCCGTTAAACAAATGTTTCCACTGTATTTAGAGTGTAAATGAAGCGCCACGATGCAATTATCGATTCCTCGATGCATCGCGCGATCGCGTCTGTACATACGTATTTATAAATATTAGTATTTCCTTAACGTAGCTAATTGATCCTTTACGCTATTGGTCGTGTCTCTGACAATGTCATCTTTTTCACACCTTTGTCTACGCGAAATAAAAAAACAAATTGAAATTTCCTTCGTTTTTAATGATTAACCGATTAAACGGAACGGCCAGTAGCGTAGCATCGTAGAAACATGGATTTTTTTCCCCCCGTTCCTTTGTCATTTCCTCTGAAAGCTCTTCGAACGAAGGTACCGTGGCTCGATTTGTAATTAACAGAGCATGAAGAGTGCGTGTAATTGGTTTTCGATTTATAGGGGTAACGAGTAGTACGGTGAAATAGTTGTGACACGGCTGATATCGGGGAGAACAGTAGAGAAAGAAAGAAAGAAAGAGTATCTGTTTTTACGCAACGAAAAGGATTAAGAAAGACTACAGGTGAGTGACAATAAAGGGGGATTATTTTTGCACAGGTTTAGTAAAAATTACTCTTATCCCTCGAACGTAAGATAGCATTATCGATGTAAGAAAATGATTGAAAGAAAAAACGAGTCATGTATTCGTCGAACCTTGTGAATTTAACAATACCTGTAACATTCTATCGAATTTAGGATAAAATTCTATAATACCATTTGTCTTAACCCCCTCCGTTTGTATCGACGTTTCTTTTCTGTTTACTATAAACGAGTAGTTTGTTGAAGTATGCGAAGAAAGTAGGTTTCACTTCCTGAATCGACGAGAGCGAAGCGTATCAATTTCTTTAGGCTGACTTGTTTAATGGTTGATGCAAGAGTAGTGAGATTTTTGTTTTCTTCATTCTGACACACGAGACGCTGAATTTAGAACAGTTGATTTTTGTTCGATCAACGAGAAAAATATTCTAATTTGGAGAAAATTCATTAACGCTTCGTTAACGCGACGTGCATTAAAAGGTAGGCATCGTTGATCGAATAAAATAAGCCATCTTGGTACACTCGATTCTTTGTTGTCGATTAGATGAATTTTCATTACTTTTATATTAATTCGACCATAGAAAGTCTTAAGAAACAAACGCGTGTGCACGAAGCTATCTCTTCTAATCAAAGTAAAATCAATTCATTTTTAGTACGTTAATTGAAAGTTTAATGGCCTAGTAAACTCCGCTTCGTGAACACGCGATTATTAAAGACGATTTATTTGAATCTTCACGATATACACCCGACATCCTTGAATGACTGATTCTTTTTGCAACATCGTAGACAAGTAGCATCCTTTAATAATTGAATCGACTTGTACACATTTAGTCATAGTTGCAGCTGATGTAATGGATAATAATTAGAGTCTATCGTAGAGCGACATGTATTTTCGTCGAAAGTATCGACGGTGATGGTAAACCTGTAGCCAATAAAACAGAAAAAGGGAGAACGAAGAAGCGTGTTTTCACCCGCAACGAATTTCCAAGAACCAAGCGTTATTCTCTGTCAAAAATTGTGCAAGATGGTGACGGAAACTGGGGAGTAAACATTCAAATTGATTTTACAAATATTAAAAAAATGCCTCTGAATCAGTTGGTTCCGTTCGATGAAAATAAACTCCCTCAGTTTCTGTGAACGATCTTTCTCCGTAGGTCGACGATGTGGCCTAATTCGAGCGAGGGATTAATTAGCGCCAAGAAGCGCGCTCGCTAGCGTTTCTTTTTCAATTTTTAGAATCCACGGAAACGTAGAATCTTCGGAGAAAATTCGAGCAATTTTAGTTTCGTATACCGGATAAGAAAGGGGGCGCGAATACGAAATCATTCCAAGACGTATGTGATATAGCAAAGCGTTTTTCGCCGTTTCGTAGTTACACGTTATCGAACCGATGGGCTCGCAATTCTTTCAACAGCGAACGAAAATCGACATTTTACAGGAACGAAACGAAACGAAATAGGAACGAAAAAAGCTTGCTGCAGGGATACGAGAGAAAGATATAAAAGGCTTTTCGTATCAGAAAAAAAAGGGGAACGTTTTGCGGAGGATGCGAGCTTTTTCACCGGGGATATCGTGACAAACTTTTTCGACCAATCGTCACAAGACTTATTTTATTACGATAGCGTTAGCGATTCATTAAATTACCTCACAGACGGGAGGATGATGCATTCCATCTGACAGAATCACGTTTTCGTTGAAACTCGAAGGACAAGCGCTTTCTTTTTACATTTAATCGAGTACAAACGCTGTACATATTACCAGTGTATTATTAATATTATTATACTTGCGTGTAAGTCTAAGTCTAATGTTGTCGAATTAGAAATCTGTACTTATAGTGATTTTTCAGGCGAGAAAAAAAAACGATGTCGTCGAAAACGTCGAGTACCTTGAACAAAGCTTTGGTAAATGAAAAACCTTTCGACGTTTCCGACGACGCATCGTGATCTGTGTTCGTAGCCAAAGATTTTTCGATCCTAGTCTCTGTCTAGTCACGTTAGAAAAGCAGAATCTCGCGATGTATCGTGTCCGGCATAGATTTCGAGGGCTACAAATTGAAGAAAAGGTTAGCAGACTCCCTGAGGACATCGTGCCTCTTCGGAAGGAAGGAAGAAAAGCCGAGGGAGAAGAGCAGGAAGAATGCAAGAGAGATATCTTGTCCGTTTCCCACGGGAGAGAGAGAAAACCGAAAAGGGAGCGGCGCTCTCGAATAAAACATTACCGACTATTAATTTATCAACCGTAAGAATTATTTGTATCGTTGTGTATATTTATTTTTGTCACTACCTTAATATTATTATCATCATTATTGCTACTATTACTATTATAACATATACGTGCTGTTTTGTCCATATAAAAGTTTCCCCATCGCAAAACCACCATCCCTATTTCGTATCGGATGTCTTTCTTCGAAGACAGTTTCATCGAACAAGAGTTTTAATTATTATTATCTGCCGTTGTCCTTGCATCGGAGGAGACAAAGAAAATTCGAGTCCCTTGTTCGACGAAGATGGACTTTGAAAAAGTAACAGGTATCAAAAGAAGCAGCAACGCAGAAGAAATGAGAAGAAGAAGAAGAAGAAGAAGAAGCACGTTGGGACGTTATTCAGGTAGGTTCTATTACGTCTGTGTTTGATCCGCTAGAGATCCAAGGGTGGCAGATAGAACGAGGCGAAGGGAAATCGATATTGGGACCCCCCAAGGGCACGCGTTATGTACGTCCCTGTCGGCTAAATTGCGGTCGCCCTGGGGGAAAAAAAGAGCTAGCACAGAAATTTCACCGTACCTTTTCCTCCCCGAACCCTCAACCTCGAGAAATATTAGCCACTATCCCTGCGGTATCTGATCGTCCTATATTTCGCGCGAAATTGATTTTCCTAATCGATTAACTTTATTTTAATTAACTAATATTTCAGATGGATCACGCAGCGAGCAAAAACTTTCTTCAACCCCCTTTGCCCTTAACTACCTGTTGATCGAAGAACGACAGAAACAGAAAACTATAATTGTGCATACTAAATAATTCCGGGGGGGGTGAAGGTGATTCCCCTACGATCCTTCTTACATTTTAGAAGAAAAGGGGATGAACGTGGAAGCAAGTTGGAACCAGACGAACGTCTAATACACGTGACGGAGAAACGATGACCGTAATTCGATAGCATAAGTTCGTGCCACGCGTTTATATCCTCCCCTTTTTATATCCTACGCCGTCGCGTAATATCGCAACAGCACGAAGCAACGCGATATATCCGGGACAGCCGAGCATATTTTCACCCTAAAGATGCGAGTCGTGGAGCGAGGCACATTTACACGCATCCTCCAAGTTCCCACTTCCATCCCCGAATGGCTACCACCCTTCCTAAGCTATCGATGTATCGTATTTTTTTTTTCCACCCTCTCCTCGCTCCCGACATCTTCCATTCTCGCTGGCTGTTGCGCAACGACGATCGGAAACGGAAGAGAAAAAAAACGGATCTATTACACGAGCAGGAGAATTTCTTTGCCTTTCAGTTTTCATAATTGACTGAAAAAGAATTGGGGTTAGTGGGGTTAAAGAATCTATAGAGGAAAAAAATATTCCCCTTTCTCTCGAGTATACATCGTCTTGTTTTTTTTTTTGCTTTTGTTCTTTCTTCTTGCCGGAGGGGTGAATCGCGTCACGAAACGCAGTCACGCGATTCTACGATCACCGGTAATCATTTTCATTTATTTATCTTCTGTCCCATGGAATATATATGAACCGTACAAGGATTATAGAAATTTTGAATAAAAATCTACCCTGTTTGCGCTTCGATCTATCCGTATCGAATTAATAGGAAAACGGTATCGCCGATCGGTCGATCGTTCCGGTTATTTTTATCCCGATACTTTAGCTAGGCATAAAATTGCATTACTTAAACGGATCAGTGGCCGTAAGTAGCCCTCCGTTCATGGAACGATATTAGCTTAAAGGGGAAGTGGAGCAATTCATAAGGATGATTAGCCACCCCTTTCGCGCGATTTATCGCGTTTTTATTGCCAGATCTAAACTACATCCCTTCGGTGGAAGTCGCATTGATCAACAGTTCATAGAACGAAAATTTGAATCATAGTTGTGTATTAGTGGGTCTTGGGTGCCACGAGGAACTGTAAACATAGAAAAAACTATGAGGAGAAGAAATATCACTCGGTAACGTTCGTTACTTCGAAGCAGTCGCAAATCCTTTTCAACCGAAAAACCAACCCGTGCTATCTAATATTCCGTAAACGTCGGTCCGGGGAGCTTTTCGCGGATTTCTTTATCACTTTGCTGCCGCGAAGTATTCAATATAGCCAGCTGCATTATGTAGCGAGTTGAACGAGCTCCTCGAGAGAGGAGGTGCAGTGTAAGAAGAAGGGAAAAAGTTGAAGCGGCAAAGTACACCGGATGCTTGTCTCGCATTTCAACTAGCGTAACACCAAACCCGCCAGTTTCTCCAGCCAAAGCGTTCACATTCCCATGCTACAGAATACTAAAAAGAACGAGAACTTGGAATGATTAACTGGTTACCAAAGGGGAATAGTTTCCGACACGTATCTACTCTCTGGTAAGTTTTCCTCCAACTATCCATCCGAATAAATAGACCCTCTAAAATAATTCTAACCGGCACTCCCTGTTTCCTAACTCTCTCTTTCAGCAACCACCGTGCGCTAGTGTCGGGAGTTTACGTAAACTGGAAAACACCAGCTACACACCCTCTTCCCGTATCCTTGAAACATTCACAGGGGTAGGTGAATAGAGGAAGAGCGTTCCAGCGAAATGCACATTCGCAGTAACTCGTTTCAGCCTGCTGATAAATAGTTTACCCGTTCGGTAGGGCCGAGACAAAAGCGGCTGAGAAGAGAAAAGGGAGAAGAAGAAGAAGGGTTGGTAAGAGACATTCAGTAGGCGCGAGTGGACGCGTAACGGACGAATGACGGGCTTTAAGAGATATGGAGCTTAAATCTTTGATGCCCTTAGGCTCAGTCGCCTCGGATGGCTCACGTTCTTTCTTGATTATTCTTCCTAGCTTTTTACGCGAGCCGACACGAAACCACTTACATCGATTTATACGCGATTTTATTGCTGCCCGAGCGTGCAGTCTCGAGTAGAAGAATAATAGCTCCAAAGTTATAGGACTTGCTTAAAAGTCGGAACTTTTATTGATCTCTGCTCCTACATATTTACTTTCTTATCGCCCTGTCTGACCAAGTTAATTCCTGTCTTATCGTGTGCACCACTTTGTAGCCTCGTTTACCGAAGTCGACGACAATAACCACCTGTTTTGTCATAGGTTGACGCAACTCTTAAGTAGAGAATGCGATTTTAATCAGACCGGAACAGTAGCCGTGTTGCGTAACTGGTCAGCCAGCTCGGTTCCCGTGCACTCGTTGAAATAACGCTTTTACGTGGCCCTCGAACGAGCCTACGTTTAATATTTAAATCGATACGTGTCATATTTACGAGAGCTTTTAGTGACTCGCCGGGTAACCCGCATAAAAGAGGAAAACGCGTATGCTTTCGTAACGATACCCAGAAAGTATACGCGAAAGAAAAGATAAATCAAAGATCTCCATCGAATGGGTGTAATAAGTTAAAAGCACGGTGTATTTCTTGGAAGAGAAACGAAATTCTATTTATCAAATATGAAAATAATCAATTACAAATTAATGAATAATCATCTTTCGATCACGCTATTCTGGTATCATGATTTCGTGTTTGATCCGAGTTATGATTACACTCTGTTCAATGTTTTGCCTACAATCTTGTAACTACACGAAAGAAATTGATTTTTTCTTACCACCCAATTTTTCTTGATATCTTTCCAAGTAATTATAGCGATCTTGCCGGATTTACCGGGAAAAGGAGTCTTTATGAAACACGGTGGTACTCTTAAACGTCCAATCATCCTGTTTCTACAATCAAACATGAACATACGATAACGTTTAACGTATTAATGTATTACAGAAAATTTTGAAGAAGGTACGATAATTTAACACCTTATTAAACGATTTTTTCAACATCCAAAATGTCTTCTTCCTCAAAGTTTTGCTAACAGCCAAGGGTCGATGCAGAATGAAGTTAAAGTATTCAACAAGTCTGTTAAGTAACTTATTTCAAGAAGCATCGGATATAGAGTCACGATGCAAAAAAAGGAAAATTATTCAAGAAGGTGTAAGAAATAAAAGAGAGGTCTGGAGAAGAGAAACATTGAATTTTTAATGTGGAAGCGGACGTGACCACCAAGACCCTTAGTTTATGTCTCAGGGAGTCTCTAAATTCGATGCATACTTTTCACAAAATTCCTACGTTTATACATGGAACACCTTTTACATTTTTTTTTCGTCTGAATTCAATTTTAATCGATATAAATATTTTGTTTTACATAGTTCTCTAGGTCACTATTTCAACGAAGTTCTAACATGACTAACTATCATAGTCACAGATTAAAACTTCAACATAAAACACGTCATAGGAAATGCAACATATTTTTACAATGATTATGGTTAATTAAAAAGTTTTTATCAAACAATAAACGATTATTTCCATGAAAGTCATCATTGGAGAACCGTCAATGTCAAAGGACCTAAGTCAATTCTTTTCGAAGACAAGAAAGAATTGTGCGGAAAGTAAATTCTAATTAAAACTGTTTTAATATTGTAATTTTTACTGTTATTTTCTGTCAAGATAACATAAATATAAGTTCGTGAAAAGAAAAGGAGGAGGTTCGTTATCTCCCCCGCAGTCAATGACATAGAGTATCTAGCCTCACGTGTTACTTCTCCATGACAATGAAAGTCTACTTCTGATGACTGTCAAGGGATAGAGTTGTCACACTAACAAATTCTGACAGCATATAGAAAATTTTTGACAGTTATCTTGTTGAAAAAGTCGAAACTTATGTTTATCATTTTGTAAAATTGATGTCCTGGGTTGACGAGAGAAGGGAGAAGCTGAATTCGGGGAGAAGGTGAAAGTGAGAACAGTCCACGGACATAACCTAAAAATAAGCTGTATGCGCGGCTATCGGCAGATTTCACGAAACCCACGGCGATACGATATCGCTTTTCGAAAACTGTTTGACATGATTGTGCCAAAGTGTTGTCTTCTTTATAAATGACTCAGCGAACACTGAGATAAAAACGAAAAATATGGAGACTTGTAATGAAAGGGGCGACCGGACCCTAAGTGACATTACGGTAACGCAAAGAAGTTGGTCCGAATTGAGAGGTGTTGTCAGTGATCTACGTAGAAAATTGTCTGGAGTATCAATTGGTTCGGTACCTGGATCCGTAACGTTTCGATCTTTACCTGATGGACGGTAAAGAACATTCCTAAACTTATAACATAACCATCATCAATGTGGCAATATTCTACTTTGTACATCTTTTTTAACACACTTTTCGACTGAAATGCGTGCTTTCTTTTAGGACCAGGATATATTTTCTTAGTAGCCCAAGCAACGGATGGGAAACTACCCTATTGTATGTGGACATTGCACATTCAGATCATGCCAATGGCTATCGTCTACACTGGCAACCTGTTATAGAAGCAAATTTTCAAACGTAATATTAATATTCATCTATAGATAACAAAGGATTATCTTTTAAATGCTGTAATATTACATTAATCAATGTATTTGTTTGCAGAGTATCCAGTACCAAAAGGTTATCAAGGGAAGAACAGTTATTATGGGAAAGAAAAAGATTAGCCACATGGGGTATCACCAGTTATGAAATTCATCTGGATAGTGGAAAATTAGTTTTTCCAGCTGCGAGTAGTCTTTATCAATGTATAGACACAGGATTTATGGTACCTTTCTTTTATACTTTACAATCTTTAAATACAGTTAAAATAACAAAACAGTAAAAATGTTTTATATTAGGCTGGACCTCTTTTTCCATCTGAAATTCGTATGTCAACATCAGGTGCAAAATTGTGTCCACAAATCTGCCCTTGGAACAATGCATTAATTGCTCATACATGCTCAGGTGACTTGTATCTGTCCCACAGTATCACAGGTTCTTCGGTAAGACTTACTCATGCAAGAAAAGGTGGAAGAAGTTTAGCAGATGATCCTCTTACTGCTGGAACTCCTTCTTATGTGATGCAAGAAGAATTTACTAGGTTTGTACTATAATAGCGATAGATGCTTTTATTTATACATTTATTACAGTAAAACTTTTATTGTGTTTCAGATATATCGGCTACTGGTGGCAGCCAAAATCTAACGACGGCGTTTATAGAATCGTATATGAAGAAGTTGACGAAAGCGATGTAAAAATATTTTGTTTTCCTTCAACATCGAACTCCGACGAAATAGATGAATTTAGGTTTCCTAGAGCTGGCACGCCGAATGCCAGAAGTAATCTTAAGATGGTGCAATTCCGATTAACGGAGACATTACAAATCGTTGATATCGAGATACTGGAACTCCAATATCCGCTACACATTATGTTTCCATGGACGGAATATATGGTTAGAGTGGGATGGACTCCAGATGCACAATAGTAAGTTAGAAATATGTGTTATTCGGACATATTATAATCTTGATTTAAAAAATTTTTTTTAAATATCTTAAATATAGCGTCTGGGTCCAGCTGTTAGATAGGAAGCAGCAAAGGCTTGAGTTAGTTTTATTATCGATAGACAACTTTTGCGAGCCACCACCTAATGTCTACAATTCGGAGAATCATTTCACGCCATCATCGGCGAGTGTTCAAGTGATTTATTCTGAACAAAGTTCGATTTGGATAAATGTTAACGATCTCTTATACTTCTTACCGTCCAACGACCCGACAGAGGTGAAATTCCTCTGGGGCAGCGAGGAATCTGATTTCAGACATCTGTACCTCATTACATCTAGTATAGCGGGTAATAATCCTAACGTATATTATCATACGTTCCAAAAGTATAAAAGATTTTTATATTTATCTCATTGTAGGTTTGAACAACGAAGTGGAAGAACCTTTGGATAGAATGGATAGTATATTCTTGCAACCACGAGTTACTTCAAAGGTTGCTTTAACTCAAGGAGATTGGGAAGTGTTAGGTAAAAAATTGTGGGTAGACGAAGTAAACTCTATTGTTTATTTTTGTGGGTTACGCGAAGGTCCATTAGAACAACACGTTTATGCCGTATCTCTTCGCCGCCCGCTAGAAATAAGATTACTCACAAGACCGGGTTATAGTCACAACAGCATATATTTTAATAAGGAATGTACGATGCTAGTGACCGTTTACAGCTCCATCAAAACATTACCTACTTGTCAAGTACGATTCTCTTATGAAAGAAAATGTTAGACGCAATTTCGTGACAACCAACTTTTTTCAGGTATTTAAAATATCACAATCAGATTGGACGGTGGAAAGTATTTCTTTAACACCTGTGGGTTATTTGTTAGAGCCATCGGTTCCCGAATCTGAATTGTTTGCTCCAGAAATTTATACCCATAAGATATCCTGTGGCGATACCATCTACTCCATGATTTTTAAACCGCATAATTTTCAAGCCGGCATAAAATATCCCACGATTTTGAATGTCTACGGTGGTCCCGAAGTACAATTAGTATCGAATACATTTAAAGTAAGTATTATAAAACGTTAGAAACAAAAATTCTGTTTGTTTCTGCATCGTAATCTATATTTATATGTTTCAGGGAATGAGGCATTTAAGAATGCACATGTTAGCTGCTCAAGGTTATTGCGTGGTATTAATAGATTCGCGCGGTTCTCATCACAGGGGTTTAATATTTGAAAGTCATTTGCAACACAGAATGGGAACTGTCGAATTAAACGATCAAGTCGAAATGCTGAAATGGTTAGCGGATACCACTGGTTACATTGATTTAAATCGCGTAGCCCTTCATGGTTGGTCATACGGAGGTTATTTAAGTTTAATGGGCTTGATACAATACCCGGAAATATTTAAGGTACTACTCGTCCACAAAAAGTTTCAAGTACATATGAAGATTTGTAAAGTTCATTTGAAATATGTATTTAAAATACGGAATTTTTAGTTAGCGATAGCAGGTGCACCGGTTACTTCTTGGAATTTTTACGATACCGGATATACTGAACGTTACATGGATTTACCTCAAAATAATCCTCATGGATATATGGCCGGTTCAGTTTTAACATATGTGGACAAGTTCCCGGACGAAGAAAATAGATTGTTGATAATTCACGGACTTATAGATGAAAATGTACACTTTTTCCATACGAGTCAACTGATCAATGCTCTTGTGAAATCTGGCAAACCGTATCAGTTACAAGTTTACCCAAACGAAAGACATAGTCTGAGAAGTTTGGATGCCAGTAAACACTATGAAACTACCCTACTGTCATTCTTACAAAACCATTTATAAATTCATTGTTTCTGTTCAACTGATTAAGACAAGATTTTAACAATTTGAGTGACTGCCATTACATTATGTAAATAGATTAAAGAAATTAAAAGTTGTTTTTCGTGGCTTTGTGTTCGCGATGGTATCTAACACAAACCTTATGTTTTGTATAAAGTCCGATACTACTACTTAAACAGTATTATGATTTTACACTTAAAACTTACAATAAAAATAGCTAAAAATTCTACGTGTATACGCATAAAGAGTATTTTCTCTATTTATAAGAGTGAAAAAAAAAGAAAAAAAATATAATAAAAAACAAAACAGCCATCGCGAAACTCGGTAAACGCAACTCGTAACTGTTTTAACGAACAATGATAAAAACTTTCAAGTATAAAATGTAGTGCTACTTTTTTAAGAAAAATTGACAATACTCGTAATTTGTTTGTACATATTATACATAGATAGGTGTTATTAGATCTGGGTAAATCTTTTTAGAATTCTCTGTTTATTGTACTTACAAGATATTCACGGCCTTCGTCAGAAGCGTATGTATAATCATTTTATGCTTAATTGTATATACCTATACGCGATCACTCATGTTTTTACGAGAAGCATCGATAACAAGTATTTAAACAGGAAAGTATTCACGAAAGTTTCACGCTTCAAATAAGTTGTTTATCCGATCATTCATAATTATTTGTCAGCAAATAAATTTCTTGTTTTATATTTTGCTATTGCGCGTATAGTCATTATCACTATCCAAGGTTTTAAATGTTATAAAAATAAAAAGCAGATGTATTCAACTTAATGTAATATATATTTGAAATTTTCTTACAAAGATTTATACAGAAATATATTACTGAGAGCTACCGTGAGTTCTAGTTTTTCTATTTAAGTATTTATATAGGTGTTTTATTCTCTTAGTTAACTGTCTCCATTTAGTTGGTCTTGCTATAGGAAATATACCACGTTTCAACATCTTTTGCTTCCTTAACAATACTTTATATTCGTTTCCGCCTACACCTCTTAACCACGACGGAACGTTGTATAAAATCCGGGTTGGATGAAGTTTATCTGATCCTAAAATATCGATGTAATCATTTTGACCAAACAATGCTCTCTTTTCGGACCAAGCGTCTTTTGGTCTATATATTGGCATGGGCAATTTTTTATCGCTTATGCGAGGTAACAACCCTTTTATCCGTTTTATTGGATCATTGTAACCATAATGTCTTTCAAGCGGGGGCATCGTTGCTTTGTCCGCATGATAACGAAATCGTACCGGTGTCACTTGTGGTACCCAGGCACTGACAACTGCTTGTGCTGTTTTCTTAAACCACGACATCCTAAATATTCATAATTACATAATTAGTATGCTCTTACTATTATTTCACGTTTACTGTATCATTCTTAAAAACCCTTACGTTCAAAAATATATGTATATATTATCCTGTAGGTTTTAAATAGGCAAAATTAAATTGTATCAAGTACTTCATAAATAAATTAAGGTTTTAATTGAAGAATTTTCAATAGAAATATTTAACAAAACCTATTCCAGATAACATAATTCTTAGACATTGCTATGGTACGTTCGAAAATAGTATACCTGCTGGCCAAATGGACGATCGTTTGTATATAAATATCAAAGATATTAAAAGTTGTATGTTCTATTAAATCATAATTATGATTTGTTTTTATTTAACAACGGAGTACACGGTCCAAACAAAATTGTCCGATGGCAGTGACTTTAAATGTAAAAGACTGGACATGCCTTTGTTTTCGAGGAGTCATATTTTACGGGGTCCTTAACACCCCAAGATATAATTTTGGCGTGCAGAATTATCGGTGCTGTGGGGTCCTTAGAAACCCGAGACGATAAAATTTTGGTAAGCAGAATCATAGATATTCGGGGTTCTTAGAACCCCTGACGATTTAATTTTAGTATGTAGAATCCACGGTGCTGAGGGGTCCTTAGAACCCCGAGACAATATAATTTAGGTATACAGAGTCGTTGGTGCTAAGGGGTCTTCAGAACCCCGCGACGATATAATTTTGGTAAGCAGAATCATAGATGCATGGGGTTCTTAGAACCCCAGACGATATAATTTTAGTATGTAGAATCTACGGTGCTTCGGGGTCCTTAGAACCCCGTGACGATTTATTTTAGTAACCTACATGAAGCGAGCCGGAAGGAATGATAAAATATGATTATTTTTAATTTTTCTAAGTGTACTTCGTTTGTAAATCGTTTGTGGTTGATTGTGAATCAATTTTTAACATTTGTGACAAATTAGTTCCTTTGTAATTAGCAATTATATTTCAATCATGATGTAAGCCGAAACTTTTTACTAATTTTTTATAATAAACAGAGTTTGTGATAACTGATAACTGTAATTGATTGGAAATCGTTTGTGATTAACAAATATATCATTTTCATTGTTTATGAGTGACTAATTTCTTAATTATTTACACGTTTGTTTTATAATAAATAATTATACCCATCACTACCTCGAACAAGTGAGTTCCACGATTTGTTCGTTTTTCGTTCTTATATTTCGCTAGATTCGGTTAAACCCATCACTATTCCGAACAAGTGAGTTTTACGATTTGTTTGTTTTCCGTTCTTATATTTCGCTAGATCCGCTCTAACCCATCACTATTCCGAACAAGCGAGTTTCACGATTTGTTTGTTTTCCGTTCTTATATTTCGCTAGATCCGCTCTAATCCATCACTATTCCGAACAAGTGAGTTTCACGATTTGTTTGTTTTTCGTTCTTATATTTCGCTAGATCCGCTCTAACCCATCACTATTCCGAACAAGTGAGTTTCACGATTTGTTCGTTTTTAGGTCTTATATTTCGCTACTTACTTGGGGTCCTTAGAACCCCGAGACATTATAATTTAGATGTACAGAATCGTCGGTGCTTGGGGTTCTTAGAACCCCGAGACAATGTAATTTAGATATACAGAATCGTCGGTGCTTGGGGTCCTTAGAACCCCGAGACAATATAATTTAGATATACAGAATCGTCGGTGCTTGGGGTCTTTAGAACCCCGAAACAATATAATTTAGTTATACAAAATCGTCGGTACTCGGGGTTCTTAGAACCCCAAGACAGTAAAATTTCGGTATACAGAATCGCCAGTGCTTGGGGTCTTTAGAACCCCCAGAGTATATAATTTAGGAATACAGAATCGTCGGTGCGCGGGGTCCTTAGAACCCCGATACAATATAATTTGGGAATACAGAATCTTCGGTGCTCGGGGTTCTCAGAACCCCACGACAATATAATTTAGGTATACGGAATCGTCGATGCTCGGGGTTCTTAGAACCCCCAGACAGAATCGTTTTAGTATGCAGTATCCACGGAGTTTCGGGGTCCTCAGAACCCCGCGACGATAATATTTTAGTAACCTACATGCAGCTAACCGTAAGGAATTATAAAATATGATTATTTTTAATGTTTCTTAGTGTATTTTGTTTGTAAATCGTTTGTAATTGATTGTATGTCTATTTTTAACGTTTGTAACAAATTAAGTCTTTTGTAATTAGCAATTTTATTTACATCATGATGTGAGCCGAAACATTTTAGTAATTATTAATAATAAACAGATTTTGTGACAACTGATAACTGTATTTGATTGGAAATCGTTTGTGATTTACAAATATATTATTTTCATTGTTTGTGAGTGAATAACATCTTAATTATTTACAAGTTTGTTTTATAATAAATAATTGTAGCTCCTTAATACCCGAATATGATATCAGGTCCGTATAAAGAGGGCACAATAAGTATAATTTTTTTCCAGAGTTTATTTAATTTACTTTATTTACTTTTTTTACTTATTTTTGCTTATTAAATAAGCCGATCGAAGAGGAATAACATTTATGATTATATTCCTCTTTAGGGTCTTAGTCGAGGACCCCATTTATTTTACTTTTTCTAGTTATTTATATAATTTTATCTCTCATTATAGGCCAAGGCCATCTCAGTATCCCTTACATCCCTGCATTCCTTCCATCCCAGCATTCCTGCAACCCTTAAATACCCCTTTTTTTTTTTTTTTTTTTTTTAACGTGGTGGAAATCTTCAGAAAGACACCTTCAGCCCCCCTGGGGAGGGGCCGGAGGTAGTGTGGGATTTTTACCCACTAAAACCACCACGGTGGCCTGCACTAGGGCGGTAGGGAGGGTACTTTGACCCCCCGCCATGTGCCAAACTCTGCCGAAATCGGGGGCCACACCCGATGCCGGCACTCCTCGGGCCGCGTGCATTGGAGACTGGGGCCCCAGCCCCAGACCCCTGCGGCATCCTTTACATCCCTCGTTCTGTTACATCTCTGCATCCCTTACATTCCTTACATCTCTTCATTCCTACATTCCTTACATCGCTTCATCCCTTACATCCCTACATTCTTTTCATCCCTACACTCTTTTCATTCCTACACCCTTTTCATCCCTACATTCTTTGCACCCCTACATTCTTCTCATCCCTACATTTTTTCATCCCTACACTCTTTTCATCCCTATATTCTTTTCATCCCTACATTCCTTACGTCTCTTCATCCCTACATTCCTTACATCTCTTCATCCCTACATTCCTTACATCTCTTCATCCCTACATCCCTTACATCTCTTCATCCCTACATTCCTTACATCTTTTCATCCCTACATCCCTTACATCTCTTCATCCCTACATTCCTTACATCTTTTCATCCCTACATCCCTTACATCTCTTCATCCCTACATTCCTTACATCTCTGCATCCCTTATAATAAATATATTATAAAGACTGCTTCGAGTAAAGGTAAGTAAAGGTAAGCAAAGGTAAGTTAGCTCCTTTTTTCGCCACCAGAGGGCGCTGATTCGACATCGAAATTTTAATTCACATTTTTGCCGCCAGAGGGCCAAAATTGGTGCATGGTTTAGTTCTTCTTTCCGAAACCAGATGGCGCTGATTCGACATCGAAATTTTAGTTCACATTTTTGCCGCCAGAGGGCCAAAATTGGTGCATGGTTTAGTTCCTTTTTCCGAAACCAGATGGCGCTGATTCGACATCGAAATTTTAGTTCACATTTTTGCCGCCAGAGGGCCAAAATTGGTGCATGGTTTAGTTCCTTTTTCCGAAACCAGATGGCGCTGATTCAACATCGAAATTTTAGTTCACATTTTTGCCGCAAGAGGGCCAAAATTGGTGCATGGTTTAGTTCCTTTTTCCGAAACCAGATGGCGCTGATTCGACATCGAAATTTTAGTTCAAATTTTTGCCGCTAGGGGGCGCTGTTTTTTCGAAATTTTCGCGAAATTCTCGAAAATTTCAACTTAATTTCAGGGAGGTACTGGGATGTATGGAATGCAGCAATATAAATGATACAAGGATGTAAAGGATACAGGCATGTAAGGGATGCAGGGATGTAGGGGATACAGGGATGTAAGGGATGTTGGGATCTAAGGGATGAAGCGATGTAAGGAATGTTGGGATCTAAAGGATGAAGCGATGTAAGGGATGTAATGATAGAAAGAGTGTAGGGCTGAAGAGAATGTAGGGCTGAAGAGAATGTAGGGATGAAAGGAATGTATGGATGAAAAGAATGTAGGGATGAAGAGAACGCAGGGATGAAGAAAATGTAGGGATGAAAATAAATTAAGGGTATATGTTTGCTTTTAGCTACCTACATGAAGCTAGCCGGGATGCAGGGATGTAAGGGATGCAGGGATGTAAGGGATGTTGGGATATAAGGGATGAAGCAATGTAAGGAATGTAGTGATGGAAAGAATGTATGGATGAAAAGAATGTAGGGATGAAGAGAAAGTAGGGATGAAGAGAATGTAGGGATGAAGAGAATGTAGGGATGAACAGAATGTAGGGCTGAAGAGAATGTAGGGATGAAAGGAATCTATGGATGAAAAGAATGCTGGGATGAAGAGAATGCAGGGATGAAGAGAATGTAGGGATGAAAATAAATTAAGGGTATTTGTTTGCCTTTAGATACCTACATGAGGCTAGCTGGAAGGAATAAGAGGAAGAAAAGGCACTCGCTTTACAATATTGATAACTAATGTATAATATATAAAAATATATGTAATCATTTATCTTCTTATTTTTGTTATTTTATTATAAAACATCTTCAGCATAATGACAGTTGCTCCAAAAAATTAAAAGAACTTCATGTAGGTCCCTGAGACGATATAATTTTAGTATGCAGAATCATAGATGCTTCGAGGTCCTTAGAACCCCAATATGATATCAGGTCCGTATGCAGAGGGGGTCTCGTCGCAAAGGGGTCCCTGACGGTCCCACTGGTTTTGGTGAAGCCATCATATCACCATATCTCCGAACACTAGCCGCCAACTATTGGAAGATAGTGGAAGCTATGTGAAAATTTATCGACCATCGCCTGATTGATCTACTTATCATTACCATCGACGAGATTTTCAATTTATTAACTTAAAGCTTCCACAATTTCTTAATAGTTAGCGCAGGTGTTCCCTCGTCTCAGAAAATCAATCGATAACTTGTCGAGTACTTAGAGCCGTTTATGTATAGATGACAGTAGCATCGAATTAAAAAAATTTTCATTTACGAGTCTTTTTAAAATACAAATTTATGAATACAAGTTTGTCAAACAATTAATACGTTGATTTAGAAGGCTCTTTTTCAGTTTGTTTCCTGTGTAAATCACTGGGAAAAGAATGAAGAAATTTGAGGAAGTAAACTTTGCTGGTCCTAAATCAATCTCTGTAGAAGCACCGAAAGCATCGCAAGGATTCCAGTAACCGCGTACGAAGAACCTGAAAGCAAGAACGGAATGTTTAGAAAGAAGAGGGTCATCGAAAAGACGGAATCGTCGAATTAGATTGCGACGGAACAATTAATTCTAATTAACCTTTACTACAACCAGCCTCGCCTTCCTTGCAAACGCATTCACCGTTTTTACACTGAAGGACGTATTCATCGTCGACGCTGACGCACTCATAATCCCTCGTGCACGGGTGGTACAAAACTAAAAATTAGTTAGATAAACATTTCTTACACGATTCCTATGAACGAATGGAAAGAGATATAATTACATCGTGCTTGAACGCATTGACCAGTCTCGTTGACAAAATGATAGGATGTGATGCATTGACAACGTTCGTTGATGCACATTGCACGGCCAAGAGCGTCTTGACAATCGTCGTTCCTCTGACAATGATCGTTTACCTTCGACGGTCCTAAAAAACACGTTACCATATACCTCAATTCCCTTAACTCGTTATCTTTATGTCATACTTACTTCTGATACAATTCGATGAATTGTTGATGTCCAAAATGTAGGAATCTTTGCAAGTGCACACTCCTTGTTTGCATTCCGCGTTCGACATCGTTTGACAAGTAACATCGTTAAAACAACTCAATCCCGCACCTGTTTCAAATGAACGTTAACACCTGGAAAGGTTTATTAATGGAGTATCTAACAAAAAGAATACTCACTGGCGATGCACGTCGACTTATCGGGGGTCGGTGAGTAATACGGATCACAGAGGCAGGTCATTTGCGCCCTACAGTAGGCGTTCCTGATGCAATTGCGGTCCCTTTCGCATTTTTCACCAATCTTCGAGCTCTCATATTCTTCCACGATTTCTGGAAAACACAGACAGGAAGCAAGACGCAGTTAATAAACGTACCGAGTCACAGATGTAACCAATTTTCCCACGCAAAACTACTTACCTTCGAGGCACAAAAGCGATCCAAAAATCGCGAATAGTATAATCGTCCGACAAATTTCACTATTCATCTTCGAACTGACGGAACCTTAAGGGACTGATGACTCGAGGAGTCTGGATTCATAACACAAACGTTTCCAACTACGAAACGATACAACCTGGCTGACTACGCAATGCACACCTGTGATAATCGTTATCTGTTCGCTTATCTCTGATGAATCATAAGTTTCACTCGAGCGCTTCCACGTTCAGGTGTGTTTCGGTGTTCCTCTTACCTGTTACATACCAGTAATCTTCTCCATGTGAACCTTTGATCGGCGGTCTTTGTTTCTTCAAAATCCTTCGCTGAAAATAATGCGCGAACCTGTCGAAGCGAACGAGCGCGGTCGTCGCTGGTGTTGGAGGCAGCAGCCGGGAAGAAAATCAGGATGGTAGGAGAATATGGTTAACTACTGTTCGACACCGCTGCGTGTTGGTCAGTCGCGTGCTATCGACGCTCGATCGCGAACCGATATTTCTCACTATCCGAGCAACTGGCACCGAATCGACAGTTTCGAACGTCAACGATGATCGTCTCCTTAAACGTAACCAGGCTTCTGGCTTTTCTTCTTCCTCTTCTTCTCGTAGCATTCTGTTACGCGCTTGATCAACAACCTGGTGAGTTCTTATAAACTGTGAAAAAAGAAATAAAGTCAAATGTAAAATTCATGAAAGAACGGCGGAAATTTTTCAATTTGTTTTTAACTTATTTGTGAAGATAATTATTGTCATGAACGTGCTCGTTATTGTAATATTTATTTGTATCATCGGGAATACGAGAATTTCGAAAGCGTACGCGAGTGCTATGTCGGTTAATTAGACACTTATCGCGTTGTAAACGCATGACTATTACGGATAGGTATTTATTGCTTTTCTGTGCTGAACGACGATTTCACGAATAGCTGAAAAAAAGGTCGTGATTGCTTAATTATTCATCCTTTCGCCTTCGGAAGAGTTTTTATTATCGAATGATGTATCCTGCTTGTATTAATATCCGCATCAGCCATTCCCGAAATAGTCGTTGGCCGATCGAAAGCCGTTAAACAATTGATTTAATGTCAGTTTATTTGAAATAATCGACGTATCGGCATAATTTCATTGTCTGCGCAACACGGTATTCTGTGTTTATAGACGTTCCCGATGCTTGTGTACAATCGTCGGCAAGCTTCGTTTCAAAATAAAGACGACCTCTGCTCTTTTTTTTTATCGCGAAAAAAAAGAGAGAAAGAGAGAGAGAAAGAGAGAGAGACGATCCTCGATGAAACGATTCGATCTGTTTATCATAAAAATGTGGAAAAAATCTTTCTTCGAAAGTTTACGAAAATAACTGATCGTTGTAACTTAAAAATTTGAAATGCTTACAGGACCGGCGATTCCTTGCCGCAATTCCGAATCCTGCATCACATCGTCCAACGCGGTGAGAAATGCATCCTGCAAAAATGGATATTGCGTGTGCACCAATGGTAGCGTAGTTTCGAACTGCTCTAGTTCCGAGCTAATGCATCAAAGCAATAGAAGCGCAGGTAAAAATGACTTTTTCTTTCCGTCGTCGTCGTAGTTACAAAATCTATATATGTTACAATTTCCCAGGATTGAGTTATCGAAGTTGCAAGCTCGATCAGGATTGCATCCAGAGCTTGAACAACTCTTTCTGCAACACGACAGTAAGTCACTGCGAGTGTCACAAGGATCACGTTTTCTCGACCCAGAGAAGCATGTGCCTTAAAAGTAAGCAGGCAAGTCTCCGCTGTTTGATCGATGCTTCTTATTCGCAAATCATTGATTTCATTTCAGAGGCTGACTCGATCGATTATCCTTGCACGGATGATAACCAATGCTTATCCTTTTCGGCGAACACCACCTGTAAAAGTGGCCAGTGCAGTTGCATATCCGGGTATCACTACGCGGGAAACGCCTGTTACAAGACGATAGGTAAGTATTCGTAGTCTTAAAAATTGTATTTTAAAGAAAGCAAAGAATCTGAACGAGAAAATTTTCCATAGATCTTGGGAAGCCGTGCGCGAGAAACGAAGAATGCTCTCGCGTATACGGCGCGGTGTGCAACGAAGATAATATTTGCAATTGTCCGGAAGCAACTGTGCTTAACGAGAGCAAGGAAAGATGTTTGCTGGTTGCACGAGAAATTTTGGAAAACTGCACCGAGCACGCGCAGTGCAACGAGACTTTTCCGGACGCGTTGTGCGTCGATCGAAAGTGCCAGTGTCAAGATCGATATCATTTCGAGATGGAGGAGCAGCGATGTTTCATCGATAAAAGTAAATCTCTCTTTTCTCTTTTTCGTTTTACGGACAAGAATATTATTTTCTTTTTATTCGCAGAGCTGGACGAAGTCTGCGCCAACAGCTACGAGTGTTACCAAACGGAGGACGAAAATGAAAACGCGACGGAGAAAGCGGTGAAATGCGTGCAGAATTTGTGCACGTGCGCTGAAAATTTTGTTAGAGAAGGGGATATATGCATAAACGAAGGTAAACGAGATTTGCGTATAATCTATTTGAATCGTGAACGCGATTATTATCAGGCGTTTCGTTGCAGGAACGCGTTCGAGGGAATCTCTGATGCTGCTGTTCCTCGTAACAATTCTAAGCATCGGGTTTTCCAAGCGAACCTAGACGGACGACTTCGTTTCTAGCCGACGAATCACTCGAGCATTTTCGCGAACGAAACGCGATACGGAAAGCGAAAAAATTCGATGACACGGTAGCGTCGGGTGTCGTCGCGAGTGTACAGGATTACGCGTCGAGTGCAATGGGAGAATACGTCGGCTGCATCGAAGCGTTTAAAGACTTCCTCTGGCACGCACATGCAATTATGTACCGCGCTCGAAGCGCGCTACTGCGATTCGTTTCTCGCGGGTTCGAAAAGCATCGAAAAGCAAAACGTTCCAAGATGCCAGGGAAGCTAGAAGTTAAGTTACTTATCTTGTTTGTTGTTGATCGATCGAACGAACCCTTTCGCACCGTTCGATGGAGATGTATCGATACTCTGTTAGAATCTGAATAAGTTTGCGCGTCAACTTGTAATTCACGGTTGTGTTTTCATAAGAGTAGTATTTTATTTTTTCCAACTAGTTTCGAAAATGGATCGACTCGGAAATAAACGAGTATGCGGTGTTTAATTGTATGTAATTGAGTCGAAGCTACCTTTTTTTACGAATCTGTAATCTTCCCTTTCCAGGGTAAAAGCGTTATACGATATTATTTCTTTCTTTTAATTTTACACGAACACGAGCGCGAAAAACTGTAGATATCTGTTTAGTTCTTTTTTTATGTTTAGCATTTGATGTAAAGATTTCTGGAATTATGATTGTTTTTAATAAACTATGGATCATGAAGAAAAGGAAGCTTGTAATAAAATGTTAGTTGAAACTCGCGCCAAAGCGGGCTTGATTTACCTGAGCCAAACACCGTCAGCGTTTTCACCGATGTATTAATCATGAATTTAAAATTCCTGGTGACACATATTTCTGACGCGAACGAGACGTGATTTTAGTGGCGATCGAGTGAACGAGTGGTTCGCTGCACTGCCAGTGAACTTATCAACGCTTCGCTACTGATTAGATATGGCCGGTTAAGAAACGTTAAGCCGATCATAAACTAGGCGTGACTCGACGGAGCAACGTATTCGTGAATTTCCCGGCAACGAATCGTAAGGAAAAGGTGAAATAAAGTGAAATATACCGGGAAGAAGGTACGAAAAAACGGCGAAGATGGCGGGCTTGGTGGATCGTGTGCCGATGGGAGGTGTTGCGCTGTCGATCGGTCTCTGGCTCGTCGTGCGGAGTGCAGTCGTCGCCGCGCACGGACAGCACGAGCATCTGCTCCTTAGACGTGAGTCTCGCAATCATTTCCGATTTTATTTTTTACTTATAATTAACGCGGTTTTATCTATCGAAATTACGTTCCTCCTCGTTCGAATTTAGAAAACACTGATTGTGACGCGATACGATCGATGCTTAAGTTCTTTTTTTTTTTTTAAATCGTCCACTGTTTCGAGGATTTTTGAAAATTCCACTTTCAAAGATGATCCTCCTCAGTCGTGGAGGTATTTTATAAATGATCGCGATAGCATTTGTTTCCGTATCACCACGTGCGTTTTGGAAGATGGGAAGATTTCATCGAATCAGATAATTCAACGAGTAATCGTGTAGATATAAAAAGAACAAGGAACAACGTGGAAAATTGATAAATTTTTTAGTCTAGTTGAAATTTCTTGACTGATAATATCTCGGGAGTGTCAGACAGGTGAATTTATAAGGAAAGACTCGAGGTGGTTCGTTGCTTCATGACCGAGTGATCCTTTCTTCGGTTTCGTGGGGAAACACGGGGAGGCCGGATCTACGCTGTTGGTTCTCACAGTTAGGCGAATGTCGGCTTGGAGCTGCGCGCATAATTAAAGAACAAGGGAGATCGTTCCCTACCATCGTCTGATAGTTCGCTCTAACGCTCTGTTCTCTGCCGGATGAATCGCAGTCATACGCCTTAAACAAAGCTTGGCATTGCGCGAACTCCATTATAAAGTCAGACGAGACGTGGAAACAATGCGGAGGGACTTTAACCCTTCGAATGGCACCGAATCTCTCCCTATCCCTCTTTCCCTGTTTAACACAGACAATTCTACGCGGACGGGATGAATTTCATTTAAACGTCTTACCTTAAGCTTGGCAGTAAGTAAATTATCGATAACAATAGCACCGAACGATGACACGTACAAGTTACGAAATCATTCCAACAGTGACTCTTCGACCGAGTAAGATTTACTCTCGTTGACTCAGCACGATTAAACGCGATAGTAAACGAAGACTACGAATCGAAAATGGTACCTACTACACCTAGTACACTGTCTGGCAAAATTACGCGCATTGAAATCTCTCGGTTACCGTGACGTTCCACGTTACAAAGGTTAAATATCACGAGGTGACAATGGAAACGAGTTGGACGCAATACGTAGTACACCGACACCTTCTGTGTCGGTACGTACCAGCTTTTGTTGCGTAACAAACCGAAACTATGGAACCGGAGCACGGTAAACTTGACGATCGATCCAGTCGAAAACTGGTCGTCCGTAATTACGAGGGAAAGAAATAAGATTGATTACGCTGCTGTCTATTTTAAGAACGCTAAACTATTGTTCTTGCTCCAAAGATATCTCTACGATTGTTTAATTAAAGTTAATTCTCATCGAAGGTTGTATCGTTGATTTAACACGTATTCGCAGTGTAATCTATTTAACACTTTTAGTATCGCGTTACTTAGGTACACCTGTGCAGGTATATCTATGTAGCGCGCTGATTCCCGCGCTATTCTTTCGTAGAGATTAACAAGGTATCTAAGTAACGGGAAATACGGGTTACTAATTGAAAGCTTTGAACTTGATCGATATTAGGGCGACCGCGTTTTAACCCAGTTCGAAGGCGATCGATAAACCCGGCCAACTGTAGTAACAATGGCAACGAAATCGAGTTTATTTCTATCTCGAAACAGTTGAACGGAGACCTTCGAATTTATCATAGTGCGCGAGGAGGAAGAATTAATCGGTACCGGTCGATCTTTCGCGATAATCGTTGAGCGTGGGTGTACGAAGCGACCAAGTGTGACCGCAACAATGCCATCGAATCTGACGTGACGCGCGTCGATAGAGCGAGGCTGAGCGTAGTATCGTTGCGTAACGCTAACAACAGAGCAGAGAGAAGATCGTAGACCTTCCGGGGAAGGTGAAACTGGCCGCAGCGACTAGCCGGACAAGCGAGCAGCAACGGATCGTCCTCGGGAATGACGAATACTGGACGAGATCGGTCGATGGAACACCGAGAGGACGAGGTTCCATCCGCGGCACGAGGATGACGCGAAGCAGGACGGTGGTCGGGTTCTCGAGACTACTGGTCCTCGTGCCTGTCACCGTCTGCGCGACCATCTCCTACCTCAACGATCAACCATCGTACCCATCCTCGGCGTCCTCCTGGTTGCGATGCAACGACCGAACACCACCTCTTCGTACGTATATGCGATACCTAAAACGTGCATCGTTCGATCGCTATCCTCGAATATTCGTCGAAAATTAAGTAGAACGCGCGCGTTCGATCGTAGGTGGACGAGAATTGCTTGCGATGTTACAAAATCTACGAGTATCGTTTTTGAAAAGATAGAATGTAATTCGGGTAATTCAAAAAAGAGAAACGTACATTTTTCAGAGACCTTGGCAAAGTGCCGATACGACGACGATTGCATGCAGAACGCTTATTGCTGGAACCAGGAAGCCTGTTTGTGCAAAGACAATTATATCGTCTATAGGAATCGACGGCAAGTGGAGTGTTTGAAAGGTAATACGTCTCTTTCTTTACTTTCAGGAATCCTTTCCTATGTGCGCGTTTAACACTAGAAAGTTTAGTTAAAACGAGAAAATTGAAAGCAGTCGTTTTGGCTGGTTAAAAAGATCACCAACCTTGTTTCGATACGAAAATCGTCGAGTCACACCGATGACTCAATCGTTCAATTAACTAGTTCCGCATAGTGGTAGCTCCTTTTTTTAACACTCTCCTCCGGACGATGTGACGAATGTTTACGAAAATTCACCGGCGGTAATTTTCTCGTTAGCGACCCTTTAATCTGCGTCGTGAATCGATCCAAGCCCGGCGAAACTACGCATCCTGGCTACTCCGACAATTACAACGGAGCGAACGTAAACTTGGCCGTGAGAGAATTTCTTTCGTGTTCATTTCGTCGAACGAAGGGAGCCGTTCGTGCTCCAGAAAGGGCCCGATTAATCATCGTTGTCGGTGAGTTAGAATCGGTGTCGGCGACCTCGGAAACGTGATTCCACGGAGATCTTCCTCCGCTCGTGTTCCTCGTCGTCCCTTTCTCACGGCCTGCCGTCTCTTCGACCGTGTCGTTCGTCTCTCGACGAAAATCAGTCGTACATATTTCCCGGACGTTCCCACGGGAAGAAAATTTACCGGCAGAAACTTGGAGGAATTTTCGTTCTAATAACGAGAGACATTTTCTTTACAGTGGCGAGAGCTATCGGGGATCCCTGCATAACGGACATCCAGTGTCGCGTCACCTTTGCCCCGTATTCCGAGTGCCGACAAAATATCTGTCAATGTTCCGAAGGTTCGCACTACGTTGAAGGAAGGTGTTACGAGTCGGTCGGTGAGTCTATACCTACATATCCTACGGACAGTTCGTGTTTCACGCCACAACTCGCTCTACTTGTCGGTAATTATAAGACCCGGGGGAACAAGGTGGTTGAACATTTCCGTTTCGTCGTTTTTCAGGTCTTGGTCAGATCTGCCAGTCGCATCACAACTGCTACATCAGGGACAGCTATTGCGTGACAGGATTTTGTGCCTGCACATTGAAATCTCACCCGAATCCACAGAACGACGGGTGCATACCCAGTGCCGGTAAAATATTTCCTTCGAATTTGAACTTCTTCGAAATTGGAAGAATCTAATTGTCTCGGGTGATTCGTTAGAACTGAACGAGAGGTGTTCGCACGATTTCGAGTGCGTCACCGAGAATTCCAGATGCATCGAGATTTGCATGTGCAAAGTGGATCACGTGCTGTCGAACGATGGCAAGCAGTGCCTGAACGCCGCAAATTCGGTCGGGGATCCGTGTCAAGAGGACTCTCAGTGCCAGATATTCCTAGAAAATTCCAAGTGCGGACCTAACGGCACGTGCATCTGCGTCGACAATTGGCACCAACGTGGTTCGATCTGTCTAAGGGATACCAGTCAGTACTTTCGCGTCTGTAATTGAACGAAAGAAATTCGATTAACAAAGAATCTCGTGTTTTAGGATTGAACGAACGATGCTTGAGTCACATGGAATGCATCACCGACTCGTACAAGGATTCCAGTTCGATCGAAGTGATGAACGTTGATTGCGTCGACGGTACGTTTTAGCTGGAATTACCCTCGAAAGAGACATTAAGGAATGGTTTTTCTTGATCGAGAACGATGTATGTTTTTGTAGGCATTTGCGTTTGCGCCACCGATTACACAATGACCGAGGACTCGCGCCACTGTATTCGTTACAGCGAGAACGGTAATTCTTCATTATTTTTCTCCTTTTCCTTTTATTATTCGATCAGAGTTTCTCTGGGACTGCTTAATCTTTCTTTTAAATCGCGTAATTAATTTGCAGCCGCAACGAGTATCACATCCTGGCGACAAATTTCTCGAATCCTGCCTGTCGTGGTGTTAATCAGTGTCGTGATACTTTAAACACCGGACAACTAGGAGATAATCGTTTAAATTATTGTTACGCTTGCTTGTATCTTTATCCGACCGTCAGAATTTTATAACCACTTCTTTCATTGTAAATAAGTCAGTGCAGATAGAGCAGGCGCATCGCTACCAAAGATGGATCCATTTTTTCTTTTTTTTTTTTTTTACCAGATTAATCGTTTTAGAAGTTGATATTTATTTGCGATCGTTTAAACGCGAATTAATATAAATAATAATTGTAATACTGCTACCTAACGAATCAACGATATTTTAAATAGACATTAATGAATTTGTACAAAAATATATTTGTTTTGGAAAGAATTTTAAGATGAATCAAGGAGATTCCAGTCCTCTTTGATCATATCCGCGGCCTTTTCAGCGATCATATAAGCAGGCGCGTTTGTGTGACCACTTACTATGGTCGGCATTATACTAGCATCCACCACTCTCAGACCGTTAATTCCGTGTACCCGTAACCTATGGTCCACCACGCCCGATTTCTCTCTCGGGGCCATCCTACACGTACCTACGAAATGACCCAGAGTCGTGGTCACATGGCGAGCAACGCAAACCCAATAGGAATCACTGTTAAATGGAACAGCCTTGCATCCTGGAAAGGCCACCGGCAGTAGAGTCGCGTTAAATCGTTTAAACGCTTTGGTCGATGCGATTTCTATAGCCTGAAAGAGTATTGTTATAAGAGTGATACCGTACCGAAAGAAAGTTACAAACGTAAGTAGCAACCTTCTTAATGCCTCGAACCATAGTTCTGAGATCCTCTTCGTGATCATAGTAATTTATCTCGAAAATGGGTTGATCGAACGGATCAGAGCTCCTCAAACTGACTCTTCCTCTACTTTTTGGTTGTAGAAGTACCGGGACGATGGAGAACGCGTCGAAACCTAGGTAATCACCGAACACCTCTTTGTAAAATTCATCCGTCAGACCAAGGAGTCCTCTGAAACTGCCCGATATGTCTCCGGTTAGAGCGCTTATTCCAAGAACCAATTCGATATCGGGTACGTCGATTCCTTTCGTTTTCGCGTTATCCAAAGCCGGGTTGAAAAACGATTTCAACTTATCTGAATTCACGACGATCGAAGTGACGTTCGGAGAGTAAGACGCTGAAAGAGTATAAATATTCACGATCATAGATTCATTATAATTTGAAATGAATCGCGAACGTCACCTGGTTTATTGCCACGTCCCTTCGAGAAAGACTTATTTGATCGCGATTTCTTTTCTTTGTTCGGCTGATCTCGTTTGGTATTGAGAAAGGCTAGACATTCGGCCCCACCCGGGACGGTCAGAGGACCCGTTCCCTTCGCGAAATAATCAAATGTATTGGCCAAATTCGATGCGAGGCGAGGCTCGACGATGGTCACGCTCTCGTTCACGAGAAACGTCAATGCCGACATGCTGACGTGATCTTGTAGATTGTATCCGACCGGAAGATCCTCGATCGCCTCGATGTCCAGCGACTGCAAATGCACTTTGGATCCTATCCCGGACAACATCAATAGCTGCGGCGAATTCAACGTGCCTGAATAAACATGAGTAGATATACGAATCAGAGATGCAGACGCAACTGGAATAGCGTACCTAAAATCTCTTTGATAGAATATTGAAAAGTCACCTGCTGAAAGTATCACTTCTTTCCGGGCGGAAACGAACAGCTTTTGCCCATTTTTAACGAATTCCACGCCCACCGCGGTTTTCGTATTTCGATTTATCGCGATCCTCGTCACTTTCGATAATTTCGACAGATGGAAATTCGGTCTATCGCGGATAGGCCTCAAGAACGCTTTATTGGCACTGACCCTGTGACCGTTTCGTAGATGAACCTGTACCGAGGAGAAACCGATCAGCCTGTCCGAATTGTAATCGATTACATCATATCCCAATTCATCGCCGGCACGGAGAAAGCATTCTTTCAGTGGCGAGCTGTATGGAGCAGTCGTGACGTCCAGGTATCCTCCGTGGCCATGAAATCTGACGAGAAAATCTGTGTCATATCGCGAAACAGAGGAGGAGCGTCGAAATCGAAAGCTTTCCTATTACCTAACGTCTTGATCCAGGAGTCTACAATTTTCGGACTTCGTAAAGTATGGCAGTATCTCTCGATAACTCCATCCAGGATTGCCTTGCGCGACCCAGTTATCGTAATCTCTCGGCGATCCCCTGGAATATATCATGAAATTCACCACCGAGGTGCCACCGACCGCTTTACCCCCGAACATGTTGCAACGACCGTCGTTCATCGACAGACAATAACCACCGCTACCGTCCGGATTCTGGGGCCTCGGTTCGCTTCTCTGCCATCGAGCATAATCCGTGATGTGCAGAATCGAGGCCAACAGGGGTATGTCTGTGAGGAATATCTCATCTTTACCCTCTTCTAACAGCAACACCTTCCACTCTGGGTTCTCCGTTAAACGATTGGTCACCACGGAGCCCGCTGAACCGGCACCTATCACGATAAAATCGTACTCAATGGACGGGATCCTCTCGTCCGGAACCAAGTCGTAGGACGTTGTCCAGAAAGGGAAAACGAAGTGATATATCGTCTCCAGGATGGCAGGCGGGAGAATACATTGCACCTGAGATACGAACAAGACAGTCGCTACCGATCTGAACATCGTGGTTCGAATTGAACGAACACACGCCTGCGGAAGAGGGTGAGATTTAACGAAATACACCGGACACTGTTAGACACCGACGATTCAGAGATCCTGACGCGAACACGATTCCACGATCGATCGACTTGCTCGACTCCGAGACAAATCTAGCCAAAGGTGCGCGGGAAGCTTCATGGACTCCCATCGTCCCCGGCTCTCCCGACCTTTGTGACTCGAGATTTCGTTTCGAAGTAACGAAATCACTCGACGCGATTGGTGTCGGCTAGCAAAGACAGCTGGAATTCTTGATACCGTCTATACGACCAAGGTCCCGTGACGCAAACAGAATGAAACTTGGATACGAGGCGAATATCAATGATGAACGTGAACGCTTGGCAAAAGAGCCGATCGATAATCCAATATTAACGAATGCAACTTTTATGGCCCGTTGGCGAAATTTTCGTGTACCGTCGTTCGAAATTCACTGTCAGTGTCAATGGCACACGTGGAGGTTCAGTTAAACAGGATCAATGCTCTGTTAATTATTAAATTATCCGATCGGAACATATGCGTATAAATATGTTTATCATTCATGAGATTTTAATTTGTCTCGTTTTCATAATTCTCTGGAAGATACTGTCCGTGATCCAACATGATCCAAGAATAAGATAATTACTGGCAATGAATGAAAACATTAATAAATAGGTAGATCAAGGTCTGTTTATGTGTAAATGTAGAATCAATGTCATTATTTTCTTACGATCGAAGGAGTGAAAGTAAAATTAATTTATGCTACAATGTTACGAAGTTGTATGGATAAAAGTGGGACTCGTTAGATCCACGCGTTAATGGAACGATGCGAAGCACAGTTGTTAGCGTAACGATTAACACGTTATTGACACAAAATTTATGTAACAAGGTTTATCGCTACCTATCCATTATGTTTTTATTTCTTTTTATTTTTTTTTTTATTGAATCAGGAATCATTTTTTGTTTGAATATTTTATAGTAAATGAAAAACAATTGAACGTGCGTGGTTTTGAATCAAAGATCGATATGTCCGTGAATAATAGACATTAAAAATGAGGACAGTGTGAAGATTTACAGATCATGTAACTACCAAAGTTGTGGTATTAAGTATTAAGTACTTGTACAAAAGTAGGGCGTCGTCTTGTATATTACGTCAGTAACTAGTGAAGTAATTGCAAAATATTTGCCGATCGTATGAAACAGAAGGACGCGACATTTGATTCTTTACATACGCTCAGTTTAAATGCCATTTACACTTATGATGAGGAACCATAAAGGAAGAGAATGATGCAAAAAATCTCTTTATAACTACAAGAACTTTACGAGTTATATCGTTAGGATTTTATAAAGACGAAAGCGCGATTGCAGGGTTCGCAGAAATGTTGCAAATCGATAAATTCGGGATTTGTGTATTTGCAACAATGTTGCTAAGAACAAAGAGCGTTTTACGGCGTTTAAAATAAAATAATTGTTGAGTAGCGTTGACAATTTCCTGATAAATGGCACCGGTGTGCCCTTGCTTCGGAAAATCGATCGGTAAGTCGTTGAATAGTTTCAGCCACTTTTGTACAGATAGCGCTGGTAACGAATTAAAAAAATTTTTTAACTCATGGCAGTATTTTTAAAATATAAGTTTGAGAATACAAGTTAGTCAAATAATTACTTTAATAACTTTTCGGCTACGTATTGATTTTAATTAATTTCCAAAAAATAAAAAACAGATTTTAGATTTTAGATTCCAAGAGAGTAAATGGGGAATAATTTTTTAAGATACAAATTGTTAAGTAATATTAATATTTCGCAGCAACTTTTTTTCGATTGAATAACCGCAAATTCCCCGATATTTTAATCATAGTTTCGCATCTCATCACTAGACGGCGATGGCAGTATCGTTTCCGGAGCGCATCAACCCCTAACTGTAACTGCTTTTATCATTTTTATCACTTTTAATACCATAGATGCATTATATTGCCGAATATAGAAGCTTAATGGATATAAATTATAAATTAGTTGGAAAATTTGTAATCGTCAATTTAAAAGTAAAATTTAGTAAGTTTCAGATTCAAATGTCTGCTTAATTTTTCCATTATTCGCTCTAGGATCGCACCTCCCTGTCTGTTTTACTTTAAGAACATAAAAAAGTAATTGTGCATTACAACTTTAGCAAGGAATCCCCGGTAAGAAAGTCAGCCGATCTCTCTATCCTCCCTACGAAAGCTTTAGAAACTTCCGGCTTGAGTTCATCAGTTGCCAAACAATTTTGAAAATCTACTAAAAAACTCGTTTCCTCGCAAACGACTGAAGTTGTCAAGAAGAATAACTTGTAAAGTTAAGTGGAAGATCTTTTAGTCAGAATCGTTGGTACGCGAGGTCATGGTAAGTACGATGGAACTTTTCATCCCCTACACGCTGAGTTGTTTCTAACCGGGTTATCAATAATTTATTACAGATAGTTTAAATAACATCCGAGGAACCTTAAACTTAGAACAATTAAACGAATCCAGCTCAACTAGTGGCATCAGTCGATGTTGTAAAAATGTGTCTGACTAAAATCGTGACTGAACTACTAGCTTGCCCTATAGGATAGAGCTGTTGGAAAGGTTGGAAGAGGAGAAGAGTATCGAATGGGCATCGACACTCTGTACGGGGAAGTAGAGCGCATCGACGATGGTGGAGGCAGTGGAGGCAGTGGAGGCAGCAGCAGCAGCAGCAGCAGCAGCAGCAGCAGCAGCAACAGCAGGGCAAGAGAGCGAATTCGGTCGCGCGCGCAGCCCTAAGAAGGGCGGGATGGGGAGGCTGGCAGTTCGGAGGTCTTTCAGGGGTGGCCTGTCAGTTTACCGGATGACCGCGCGAGCGCGCTGCCGCGCAAGACCAACCCTCCATTCGCGCTGCATCCGGCGAACGTGACTGGTCGTCGCGTTTCATCCTCCACCGCCGCGGAACGTTCGGTTTTTCGTCTCTGCTGCTCCGCCTATCCCCATCTCTCTTTTCCATTTTTACACTTCAATTCATCTAAATCGAGTCTTTTGAGCCGGGTTCCACGAACGTGGCCGTAACAGACGACGTGGAAAGTCACCACCTATCGACCGCCGTCACTGACCGCTGGTCCCCGTCTTTCGCTTTTTTTTTTTCCTTTCCTAACACCACCTTCTTCTTTCGCTTATTCACCATTTCCATTCGAAATTTCCCTTTCGTCCGGCTGTCGCGCGGTAATCCGTCACCATTTCACACGGTTCCCCCTTCGATCTGCTTGGAAGCTGGTGGTAAAAGGAACGTCCGATGCGATCAGGGTAAACGAGAAGAAGAGGAAGAGAGAAATAGAGAGGATTTCTTTTCTCTCCCGCGGAGAAAGTGTACAGTGTATTCTTAGTGGATGCTATCACGAGGATCGGTAGCTAGTTCGTGATGGGGGTGGCAACCAGTTTATCAGACGTTTTCGCTACGAGAAGTCCGCCGGGAAGATAATGCAGATAAATGCCTCCGGAGGGAAGAGAGAACAGTAACAAAGGATTACATGTTGTCAGGTACGCGGTCTTCGTTTCTTTTTTCTCTCCCTTCGTTATGTCGTCTTATATTCAGCTCTTACCTGCGTGGGAGTCGAGAGCTCATCTATGTGTTTCCTTCGTTAAATAAATAAACGGTTACAAAGGTTCGCACGCGTACACTTATATAAATTTTCAGCTGGGACACGAAACTTTTTGCGAAATCTATCAGAAATCTTTATTACACGGCCGGGCAACATTTGACACGCAAACATCGAGCAAAAGAACCATCGTGTACTCACGTGTACAAACTTAAGTTCGGATTAAAAGCCAGTCTCGCGTGTCTTCGAATTTTCTCTACTTTCTCCCTGTCGCTCCTTTTTCTTTCGAGTGGATCATTCTGTTTACTCACGGTACACGTAGAGAACCCTCGAAGGCTAGCCCATAAACTCTCGATACGTGACCTTTCGACCAATTCTGTTTTTCAAACGACACGCTTCTCCTTCGATAGCTGCCAGAAGTCTGGGTTAGGTGGAAAGTGGAAAGCAGGTCTCAGGAATTAACGAGTATCCGTGATAAATAACAACGGGCTAAAATTAGCAACGAAGCAAGTGGAACAGAGTGAAAAAAAAAAAAAATAAAGTTGCAAACATACATTGTACGTTTCAAGGGAGTATCATTAATCGACCGATCTCGACCTCGACTGTAACCTCGATTCAAGGTTTCGCGTAACGCGTCTAGGAGGGCTCGGTGTTGTATTTACCTTCGCAACGGCTCTTCAGAAAGGTAATAGTACGTAATGTTGCCCTGTATCGTGACTGTAAAGCACGAATTGTATTATTCAGAAGGCGCGGTACGTGGATGCGGTTAAGTATACCTTTATACCTTTATACCGTGCAATGGTTTTGCCCGAGTGCTCTACACTGCAACGAGAAGAGCGTGGTTGCGATGCAACTCGAAATGCATACACCGTACCCACCGTGAAATGACGAGCTCAATCATTAATTACCGTACACGGAAAACTTTTGTTTCATTCGGTTAACAACGCGCGCAGCATCGTTACACGACATTTCTCTTTACAAAAATCAACCTATCAAATATTTCATCAACGTTCACCGGTTAAGTGGACGTCAATTTATTTTTGTTTGGCCCCGATTTAACGAGAATCACGATTCGATCCGTTTCGTCGTCCAAAGGCCGCGATGTACGATCAAACTTTTCAGAGATCTCATCTATCTTTCACACGAAAAATTATTTATCCGATGAAATTTTTATTCGGCTACCTTTCGAGCGGCTATCAAATCCGGTTTCATCGAATCGATCAAAGATATCGCGTGTTCTGTGCATCGGACACTAGCTAAAACAAAGTTACCGTGAACGGGTTAAAAGACAGCGAAAGGATGAAATTACAAAGCACAGCTTGCAGACTGACGGTGCGGTATGTGCGGATATGTGGAACACGAGGTCTCGGCATCGTGAATTCCTTGCGGCATATGTAAGATATCCTACACGAAAGAATTAATACCGGATTCCTGGTAGTTGCAAAGGCAGCAAGCTCAAAATTTCAACCTAACTATATTTCACGCCGCGTACTCTGTTCGTGCTTTCCGTAATTCCCAAATTGCTGTTACATTTACTAAATGTACTTTCCCTTACAACTTAGTTATTACGGTTTTCAAGGAATTATTCGGTAAACCGAATTTCAGTTAGGTAGCAACTTTTGAATACGAAGTGAAATTTTTAACTACCTTTAAATTTCGATAATTACGATCACTTTTAACTCTATGCTCGTTGTGTGCTTAACGCGTTGAGCTTCTCTGCCCGGGTTAACGCAGTTGCAAAAGCGTGAAATTCTCTTTTAGTTAACTGTAATTAGCGAACGGTTCGATAGCCGAGTTAGAAATTACGGACCGATGCGGTTATTTCCTCGTAACTGTTCTATTGTTCCACGATACTGTTCCACGGAAAGATAAAAATTTGATTATTTTTCAATTATAAAAGTTTCGCGGAATTACTTGCCGTTTCGCAATCGGAGAATCGGGAAGGAAGAGGAAGCAATGAGAAACCTTTGGTTAATTCGAACGAGCTTCTCGCGTTGGTTCCATTCGCGTCTGGCATTTCAGCGAACGAATCGAAAGCACGACCGAGTACGGGGAATGAAAACGAGTATTTGAAAACGGAGGAAAGCTCGGTGTAGAACAACGTAATAGAAAATTTATTCAGAGCTTAATCACATCGCGACAAAGACAGCATTGTTCGAGCATGAACAATGGAACGGTTCTGTGGGTTCACGTAGCGGTGTCGGCGAGCATTCGGTCCCCTGATTTGCAACGACTCTTTGCCTTTTTGATTTTCCCCTTTCTTTTTTTCCATACCGAGAATTCGGGTCGCCGTATCGACGCCACTTCAACGTTAGCCTCCGTCTTTTGCCCTTATTCCTTCAATTTGCCAAATTTATTCTCTCACTTTTCCTTTTTCCCGGAATCGCAACGCATTTGGCTCTTTCTCGATCGTCGACCCGAATATCAAACTCCTATTCGCATTTTCCATTTTTCCTATCAGCTTTGTTTTTCACAGGTGTCGTAGATTCGCGTTCGAAAACCTTTCGTTAGTTTCGATCCATCGAGCAGTGACAAAGGAAAAGTTGCATCGTCTGATTACGTTTGGAAACGTGACGTCAACTGTCATACACGGTGAATGGAAGCCACCGGCAAATAGTTGGTGCCCGAAGCTTTTTTATTTACAAATCGTCAGCTCCGACGTCAAGTCGACAGCGCCGGCACTTTCCAATTTTCCGCGTCGGATGCGACGCGTTTCCTTCCTCTCCGCGATCTTGCGCTTTTTAACAAGCCTCGACGCCGGTTATTTGCACACTTTTCCACCATAGAAATATCGAAGCTTCGTATCAGCATATGCAAAACACCAGCTTCCGCCCGTATCCCTCTGTAAACGAACGATCTCCCTTTATTCCGGTCGGTTCGTTTTCATCGCGCGCGGCTCCGACGTAGAAATTATTTACGGATTTGTTAACGAATACGCTAATTGCCGCTGCTTATTCGGCGAATGGATCGGAAATGGCAAGCAAGCTTGTTTATCGTGTCGAGCGGAAGGGAAATTAAAAGGCACGTCCGATCGGGTACGTTTCGAATCGTAACGGAATCGAAATGAAATTTCTCTTTTCCGATTCCGTGATCTCGATGCGGAGCACGGACTTGATATTTTTTCCCCCTGGTCAAATGAAAATTAACTGACGCAATCTGTACCGAGGGCATCGGAATTCCTGTGAATTCCGTGGTAGGTTCTCTGGTCTGGTTGGAAGCGCGGAAAGAGGTCGCGAGGTGGATGGCATACTGGTCCTGACAAAGAGCGTTAATGGCGAAGTTGGTGTTGGTGCTCTCCAGCCTTTCCTCCGACCATTTTCTCCTCGAAGCGAAGCTTGGCCGCGTGTCGATGTCGATACTACGCTTGTGTAACACAATATCAGGGCTACGCGTACCCTACCCTATTGACGCGACGTGTCGTTAAATGTCGTCGGCGTCGATTCTCTCTTCAAACACCGATTCTCTTCTCTCTATCTCTCTTTACGCTTCAACTTCTTCCGTTTACATGCCCTATTACAATTTCCTTCGTTCGACTGTCATAGAGAAACTTGTCCACCGATATCCTTACTCTCAGCACACCGCCCGCTATATTGGACCCGGAAATCTCGATCTCCCGACGGTATCCGGCTTCTTTACACGGGCCATCCGAGATGATTTCTAACGTGGAATAACGATATCGTGAGAAATTAACGTGGAAATTAACTTTGTGTATACCGGAAGCGATCGTGGGAGTAAGCGATGGGCGTTCTTTGTGCTATCCTACCAGTTACGGGAAAACTGGTCAGAGACGAGACACTCCTTTTGATAAATTTTCGATCCGGTTGAACCGTGGCTGGAGGAAAAACGAGGGCAACGGGTCGGGGAAGGAATGGAAGAGGAAGTTACGGAGAGGAGGAAAAGATTGCAAGAAATCTGGAGATGGGCAAACTAGGGTGAAACTTGTGACGAGTTTACTAGCTTTATCGAAGCCCAAAGGATAGGAAGGCAGAGGAACGAACGTTTCATTCTCTGCTCACAAAGTGCCAACAACAAACACGCATCCGACCGCGGACATGAACTAACCAAGGAACCTAGCTCTCTCTAATTCCAAGAGAAACTTTGAAGGTTGCTACACAGGAGCCACCGGTTACCATTACACTTTTTATCTACAGTTTCACGATCGTAGAAGACTCTGCGAAATAATGCTCCGGGCAGGAGACGAAGGATTTTCTCCGGGCTAGCTTAAAAGCTTGAACTACCTTTGAATCGGTTCGACTTCGCGACAGGAGTAAAGGAAACAACAACCGTCTCCCGTTGAATGGTATAAAGTAAATTGTGCATCGAGCACTCGGTCGCAAAGTGGGTTTCTTTTTCTTCGAGTAAGCAAAGGAAAAGTCGCGAGTCGAGGCGTCGCGGCGAACGGACTCGCGCCGCGAGGCTTCGACGGAAGAAGAAGAAGAAGTCGCGAGAAGAAACGGAAAGCCTCTTCAAAAACGGCACAAGTAGCGAAAACACTTTAGGGAAAGGAATCCGAGCGTTTCTGCTGGAGAAAATAAAAATGAAAAACGCGGGGCGCATCGTGAATACGTAACAAACGCAAGCGATATACTCTTACGTGTCATCCATCTTCGCCGGTTCAATTTACATTACGAATTCCAGCGGATGCGCGCTTTTATCTTGACAATGTACACGAAACGAACGACCAATTTTACTAACGAACAATGTTTAACGTCGAACAATGATTTTGAAAGCGAATGGAATCGATACGCGCACCGCGTTGATGCGTTGCTATTTTTCGCAAAATAATACCCTTCTCTGATGCATGGAAACGAAACTGGTTCGTTGAAACGCGGTTCGCCATTTATACGAGCGCGACTAACTTTTATCCGGAGGCCGGTACGCGGTCTTATTCCGAAAATAATGAAATTTAATTAATGATCCCGGAGCTGCGGGTCCCGGATA